TCAATTCGCAATTAAATGCCTATGCCGAGCGGCAGAGCAGTCGTATCAAGGCAGAGTCACATTCAGGTTCAGTCGTGTGCATCATTGCAATTTGATATTTCTTTGGACGTTTTCGTTTGTTATCTTATTAAGTTGTTGAGTTTGTCGTTGTTATTGTTATACCTTGTTATTGATTGTTATTGTTATCAACTGCTTGCGCAAAATGCCCAGTAGTACAGATACTGCCGATGAAGTTGTAAACTCCTGTAGTCCACCTAGGAAACGCTCTAAAAAAAGTCACCTGAGTGCAGAAATGAAAGAGGTCATTTTGAATATATATAAGATCGAGCGCGAGGAGAACGAGGCATCAACCATCAAAGTTGGGGTGTGTCGCGCATCAGTGTTTAATGTGTTAAGACAATACAAAAAAAATCACACCTTTTCTGAGCCAATGACCAGTAAACATCGCAACAGTATTGTTAAATCATTGGATGAAGCTGATAAGCATGCGATTAGGAGGAAAGTGCATGAATTCTTCTTTAGGAATGAAATACCTACTATAGATAAAGTACTGCAGGAGGTAAATGGAGATACAACGTTGCCAAATTTCAAACGATCAACTTTCCATGCGTTACTGAAGCATTTAAATTTCAAATGGAAAAAACGGGGTCGTAATAGTTTACTACTGGATAGAGAAGAAATTGTGCTATGGAGGAGGGATTATTTATCAAAAATTGGGAAATATAGAAATCAAAACAGGAAGATTTATTACCTTGATGGTACGTGGGTAAACGCGGGACACACTACAAGTAAAGTATGGGTTGATGATTCTGTAACTTCATCCAGGAGGGCCTTTCTAGATGGACTGTCCACCGGATTAAAAAATCCAGCAGGTAAATACGAGTAATAGACAACAATCGGATGTTTTTCAAACCTTGGGAACAAGGTTCTAAACATTAATTCCAGGGGGCAGATAAAACATATTACAAGTAACAAAACTTTTATAACTTTCGATAAAATGCGTGGATGTTTTATTGTCATTTTCATTTGTTAGAACTTTTTTAAATCATGTTTTTATGTGTTTTCGATATTTCAATAATTTTTTAATATAATCTTAAAATATGTCGAATATTATAAACTTAAAAAAAGTTACTAAGTTTTATATTGTGTACCGTTCCTAATATTTCTAATCATTTTAATTCATACTTTAAGCTTTATAAAGTTATAATTTGTTAATATTAATATTTGCGCGTATTTCAGGTTCCTGATCATTCATTTTTTAAAGGTTTATAACTTTAAATTAAATTGTGAAGCGCTGAGTAATCATACGACGTTCAATATTCTTTCTTTCAATATTACTAAATAATCCCAATTATAGCAATGTGATACTCATGTCTCAATGTTTTTTCGCTGAATGTGATGAAAACATTTGAAAAAGGTTCGCTTATTGAAATAAATCTACACCAGTTAGTACTTCGATTTCCAGGTAAAGGGAAAAGGCTCATTATCTGCCATATTGGCAGTGAGGATGGATTTGTTGTTGACGGTCTGTGGTGCTTTGAGTCTAAGAAAACTGGAGATTACCACGAGGAAATGAATGACGAATCGTTTGAACAGTGGTTTTCAAAAATTTTACCGAACTTAGAGGAAAACGCAGTAATTGTGTTGGATAATGCGCCTTATCATTCTCGAAGAATGGAGAAGGTCCCAACAACGGCTTCAAGGAAAGTTGATGTTCAAAATTGGCTCCGCTCGAAAAATATCAACTTTGAAGAAGCAATGCTGAAAGTACAATTATTAAGAATTGTCAAGGATCACAAGGCGGAATATCAAAAATACGCGAAGTCAAAATAAAACTGTGCTCCGTTTACCTCCATACCATTGCGAGCTCAATCCCATTGAGCTCATATGGGCAGAGGTTAAAAATTATATAGCTAAGCACAATACAATTTTTAAATTTTGTGACCTCAAAGGACTTTTCAAAGAAGCACAAGAATTAATAACAGCGCAAAAATGGGAAAACTGTATTAAGCACGTGAAAGACAAAGTTGAAAAGAGAATGTGGGAACTGGACAATATTTTAGAGGAACAAGTCGAGCCATTCATTATTGACGTTGGTGCTTCAGGCAGTAGCGATGATGAAAGCTCATCAAGCTCATCTTTCCAATAAAAGATGTCGTTCATCAAATTCGGTAAGTTATAAGTAATTATAAAGCTACTGTATTTTTTAATTAATTATTGACATTTTTGAACCCATTTTGGCAAAACCTATTCAAGAATCTACTTTCTGACAATGTTCAACCATGCACATTTTTTTACGTTTTGAACGTTTTAATTTAGTTACATATTTACCTAGGAATCAAAAAATATACTAATCAATATTCTAAAAGCAATTTTAAGAGATATACGATTATTTTTAATTTAGGCTAATTTAAACGCCATTTTGAGATTATATTCGACTGTATTTCACCAAATATCAGGCGGCATCCGAAGCTGGAAATCGAAGCGAAAATTTTGAAACCCTTATGTATATTTACATCATTATATATTTCTTACCCCACCCCCACATGATCCTATATCCATCACCAATCGTATACACATCGAATTGTGCTAATTTACTACAAAGTTACGCAAAGCAGCATCTACTATCTAAAATATGTACTGCATGACTCTTAATACGTCCCTGCCGAATGTTACAGCGTTCGATGATCACGTGGTCTTGTTTATGTCCGGTCTATCTCTTATCTGAATATACTGTAGGTGCCACAATACGGGCACAGTTTCAACTAGTAGAAAGTAAGTGAATTCAACATTTACACGCGTTTCTTACTGAGTCTTCAATAAAAAATAGATGTGTCAGGATAAAGTAGCAACTTTCCTTTCACAACCCACCAAAAAGGTACTGCATATCTTTCTAATTTGAAGGATACTTTTTTGAGAAAAATATTCAAAATTACCCATTATTTTGAACAATCTTTAGGGCTAATTGTTATTAGCCCTTTAAAGCGTGTATGTAGATATCTGAGAAAAATACAGTGTCATTAAAATAGCTATCTCGCGAATCTCATGTTTCTTATAATTTCCCATCATTTTGGGTACCATTACTCTCATCTATGCTCCGAATAATTTTGAAGACATTATGGGTGCTTTTCTAGGAATTTCGTCATTTTTTGCCCAAACAAAGTGGTTTTACAATAATTTATAGGACTCCCATAAATATGAGATTATCGTAAGTTAAAGTTACGAGGCAGGCTGTTATGTGACCTGTTGTTGTACTCCGCACAAAATACTCCGAAGAAACCTTTAGACCTGTTTTGTTTTTAATTTACTCAAACAGGGCTGTGGATTTTTTAATGGCTAGTAATAATGCTTCAATCTCTCTCAGAAACTGTTATTCAGAGGATTGCATAACGCATAATTAGACAGTGAAGCATGGAAATTTTATTAGTTTGTTAACCCGTCACCGGTAAATGGTAAATATAATGCCAATGCACCATTACAAGCTGGAGTAGGACCATAAAAATATATATATTTTTTTGTTCCTCACAAAGTTTATAGCTGTACACAGAACGAAAAACCGGCTGCACATTCGCACTTCTAAGAATTCTCGACCTTTAATTTGAACTAGTCGGCTTTTGTCTGTTTTCACACGCTTTGTATTCCGCTCGTCTACCTGGTACCTGCTCTAGTAACACGGCTACGTTGGTTCGCTGGCCACTGCTTCTTCCTATTCTTTATTCAAATTACCATCTAGACATACAGGGTGTTCTCCAGATCCACACAAAACAATGTTCGAGTGTTTTTTCTTAATCTCCTGGATTTTTTCGTTTTACTTCCTATACCAAAACTTACGTAACTTGTACAGTGACATTATGTCCGTTTTTTGACATGAATGTTTTGCTGAACTATTACACACTATACTTAGGGTGACCATATGTACTTTTTTTAGTAGGACAGTACTTTCTTTTCAAACGCTGTCCTATTGTACTTTACGATTTATGAAGTACACCTACATGTACTCTTTTTCTTAATTACACAAAATTTAGTCCTACTATTTGTGAAAACGAAATATAACTATGATTATTATGATTTGAATTGATTCAAGAATCGATCTGTTGTGGAAGAATCGCCCATCCCTAGCAGCAACCGATCGCAGGTCGTCGTCTAGTTTAGCCGATACGTCCATCTCCCATCTCTGTCTATTTCATTTCGCAGCTAGTATCTCGTCGTATGTTTATTAGTTACTTCTGGGCTTGCTGTCGATTAGTCTATTTACCTTTACGTTAAATTCCGGCAGTTTTTCTTGTATCTTATACTTTTTTGTGCTGTGTGGAAAAGTAAACAATTTTATCATGTCACCGCCTCGAAGAAAATGCCATTTTAACGCTGAGTTGCAAGCAGAGTATCCATTTTTGAAACAAAAATCAAATGTTTCACCGCATATTGTGTTTTGCCAAGTTTGCAGAAGTGATGTTGATATTTCTAACAGTGGTCGCAGTAATATCAAACAACATTTGTCCAAGAAGAAACACATTTTGGCTGCAAATGCAAACTTGAAGAGCAGAAAATTGGAAACTTTTCTTAAAAGTGACAGTTCAAGTTCTGAAGATATGTTGATTGCTGCCAAGGAAGGTACTTTTGCTTACCATACAATTAAGCATTTGCAAAGCTTCAGATCCTTAGACTGCACGTCAAAACTAATTGTAAACATGTTTGAACCAAAATTTGCGGCAGCTCGAACCAAGACTGAGGCGATTGTAAAAAATGTTTTAGCTCAAGAAGCTCAGTCCCAATTAGAAATTGACCTTCGAAAAGCAAATTTTGTTAGCATCACGATCGATTCGTCAAATCATCGAGAAATTAAAGTTGTGCCCTTAATGGTAAGGTATTTTGATGGTGAAAAGGGTATCCAAGTAAAATTACTTCAGCTGCGTGACTTACCTGGAGAAACATCATAGCAGTTGAAAGATTACGTGGTCAGTGCTTTGAATCACCATAATCTACTTCAAAAATGCATCGGAATGTCTGCTGATAACACAAATACAAATTTTGGTGGAATGAGGAGAAAAGGAGTGAATAATCTATTCAGCAAGTTAAATGCTTCTCGTGGCAAACCCGTCATTGGAATTGGTTGTGTAGCACACATCTTTAACAACTGTTTACAAAATGCGACGGACGTCTTACCAATAGACGTCGAGGTTATTGCGGTCAAGATTTTTAAGCATTTCTATATTTCTACAGTCAGAGTGGAGAAACTAAAACAGTTTTGTGATTTTGTTGATGTCGAGTACAAAAAAATGTTGTCGTTTTCAAAAACTAGATTCTTAAGCCTAATGCCAGCCATTGAACGAATTGTACAAATGTTCGAACCCTTGAAAGCATATTTTTTATCGATTGATAATTGTCCAACAGTTCTAAAACAGTTTTTTCAAAACCCAATCAATGAAGCATGGATGTGGTTTGTGCATAACATTGCGTCTCTCTTCCACAAAGTGATTTTAGATGTAGAAGGTGACAAAATATGCGCAACAGAAGCCGCTTTGGAGTATTTCGAACTCATAAATAAGCTTCAAAATCGTTTAAATGAGTTATATTTACCGCTTAAAGTAAGAGAGTCACTTTCGAAACTTGAGAATATGGGAGACATTGACCGTAGTGTAAACTATCGGGATATCTTCATCATGCATGTCAAGCAGTTCTATTCGAATTGTGTAACATATTTGAAAAACTGGAGTGAAAATTTAAGTGAACTAAAGCTATTTGAAAAAACAAGTTTCTTGGGCTGAAATTTTGTCGTCGTGTGAGGCTTTCAAGGACTACATAGGTCCGATATTGAATCAGGACGAACTGTTCGATGAAGTTAGTTTAATACGAACCAACGTTACAGAAGATAAAATCGTAGACTGGAATTCGAGAAATATTTCTACCGAAGATCGATGGCTCGAAGTCTTCCAAAAAGAAAGTGCTTTGAAAAATCTCAAAATTCTATGCGAGTTCGTTTTTTGTCTGCCTGGGACCAGTGCGTCGCTTGAGAGGTTGTTCTCAAATATCAATAACTATTGGAGTCCCGACAAATCGCAGCTGAAAATATCTACTCTGGAAGCCATCATGCAAGTCTACACAAACTTCAAAGTTTCGTGCAATGAAATGTTTCAGTTCTTAAAGAGTAAACCACAACTTCTGAAGGAAATTCATGGTTCCAAAAAGTACGACTGGTACCAGAATGATGATCAAAATTTTCTGGCAGGAACGTCGAAAGAAAATTAGCTTTTAAAATTAGCTTTAAATATATATATACATAATTTATGTACCTATTTTTGATTTAAAAAAAAAACATTCTCTTATTGTTCGATTAAAGATTCTTAAAATTTTAACCAGATAAATTTTCTAGAGTATTGTACTGAATTTCCTTTAAATTTATAAATGTACTTTTTTTTTTGATGAAAAATTATGGTCACCCTAACTATACTACAACTATTTAAAACTGTAATGACTCATACGCGTGATCAACACGTGATCAGAGCTCGATCCCGGCTTCCTTCCAGTACAGCCGTATAGCGTACGACATATGTCGTTTCTGTGGCTTTGCGGTGGTCAACAGCACAGACAGAGATGGAAATAATGGCTGATTGTTCTCCGCCGGTAGAACCAATGAAATCAAAGACGCGCCTCGACCGGCAGCCTCATAGGCGTCCGCAACGCATTGGAACGTGTTTCGTTGAGCGATCGCATATTGTGTGTTTTTATAAGAATTGTTGTGTGATTGTTATTGTTGTGGTTTCTGTGGTTACCGTTTTGGTTATACTTAACCGTGGAGAGTACAAATGGCACGAGTGGAAGTACTGAAAGCCAGGGAACAAGCACTGAAGAGGGACGCGAAAGAAATCGTGCTCAACGTGTTCAATTATCTGAACAGAACAGAAAGTATGACAGGCGTTCCAGAGTGGACCATTCGCAGGGTGGTGCATGAAAAGAAGAAAACCGGAGCTACTACTGATCCAAAGTTTAATTTGAAGGGACGAAAGGCCGTTAAATTGGATGACGATAGCAAAATGGCGTTCAATAATGTGGGTGATCTTTTAGAAAAGCACTGTTTCCATCAGAAGCAAAACACGATAATAAATTATAACTATTGTAGAAAGCGTGGTAAAAGTTTTATTTAGCCGGCACTTTTATTACCCGAGACCGGCGACTAGAAAAAATATACAAACGTCCCCCGGCATTCTCCGAATGCATCACGATATATGCAGTTTACTGCTGTTGACACAACTCTTGAATCGCCTCGCTAATTGTATGCTTCAATAGGAAGAAACAAGAAACGCGTAGAAACAAGAATACAGCCTTAAAGCAAACATCTAAAATAGCCAGGTTGATGAACTTGACGTTCAATTGGTCAAGTCTAACATGCGAGTTCTAAGATGTATCATCATTTATTTATTATTAATCATTTGAGTTTCAAAAGCCATACAAATTCAAACCTTTTGGCACTTTGGCAAGCAAAACATCCGCGACCGAAGCATCGAGGAGACAACTCGAAGAAAAAGCAGCGTACGTCTTTTCAAAAAAGTCAACCAAAAATCTTGATTGATACAGAACTCATATAATCTCTAAGGCAAGTCTGCTGAACTTAAGAAGAAGCTGTGAAGAGAGACCAGGCGACAGAAACTGCCAGTTACCTACCTACCAATCCTAGATATTCTTTGTGTGGTTTGGGTGTCGATTACTTTCAATTACGCCCTATATATGGATAGGCGAAAATTTATAGTGTCTATAATTTATGTAGGAACCGTAAGTTTACCCAACTTTACCCTAATTTGTATGCGATACTAAGGTCAAAATCAAGTCAAAAATAATCCAAAGCTAAGCAAATATCTGATATTATTTAAGCTTTGAAAATGTCATTTTATATCGCTGGAAAGCTGAGCTTATCATTTCAATCGCATTGTACTGTATCATAGTTTTATCTTCACAGAATTCTCTATTCGTGTATCATATTCACGTTAAGGCAGCATTTTTGTCTAATATCTTTTATCGTTGATGTATTCGCAGAAAACTGAGCTTGCACGACGCTATGATTACAGCTTGAAATCGGAGAGTCTCATAATATCTATATGCATGTATGAAAATAGGGTTATTTGCAACTTCCTTATATGAGGATATAAGAGTGGTATTAGTATCTGTAACACTACAATTTTCTCTTGCCGTACCACATTTCCCATGCTGATCGACGACTCTTCTCTAACAAACAGTCTCGGGACCGTCGACGATCGAGATCTTTTCAACCGCTATGTCAACGGACTTAGCTCCTCCACCTCGATGCCACCGAGCGATGAGCCTGCCAGACTGACTCGCCTGACATCGGCCTTCCATCTTAACCATGTCGAACTTCGTACATCCAGAACTGGTCGATACGACCGTTTCTTTGTCCCTAGGGTATCAAGGTTGTCGAAAAATCTACCTGAGGCTTTTCCCAGTTTGACTAACCTTATATAAAAATCTGATCAACAAAGTTCCGGATTATTTCATCATCTTAAAGTTTTTTTTAAATTCCCTGTATATCTATAAAAGTTATGTTATTTAACAATCTACCCTCGTATTTGCGATATGAGTTTTTTAATGTTCGTCTCAATTACACAACTATCGTAATTAGTTATAATGGCAAATTGTTCCACAGCCGGTTTTATTTTGTGGGAAAATCAACGACTTTTCAAAATACGCAATAAAAAATGTTGCATCGACAAAACACCACAGCACTAGTTCGACCAAAACATTTGTCCTATGCAAGAGCGAGGCTAGGAGGCGTCCATTTCCCCTTTCTAGACACCCAAGCCTGTAACTTTTTTTTTTAAAAAAAATTGTGTAAAAACCACCTTGCCAGATCTGAATCGTGTCACAAGTGCATTTGCTCTCAGAAGCGCTGCTTAAGTGCTTAACCTCAATTTTTAATCGCCGCTATCTCCGTCCCCTTAAGACAAATACCTAAATCCGACCTTGATATGACACTAGTAAGTAATAACGTTCAAAAAGAAGCCAAGAAATCCCTGCAAAAAAAAACCAAGAACTATCCTAAAGGTAAGTTTCCATTACACCTTTGTTCCCGGCAAAATGTCCCAGAAAGTACAGTCTGCAACATGTGTAATAGCTTGTTCCGGAGTACATTGCAGCTTGGATTTACGTGTTCGTACAATAAATGTCTACTACTTCATAGAAACTATAAAAAGAGTTCGGTGGCCACTTCGTATGAACAGTGTGCTGAAGTATTGGAAAAATTTGCTTATTTTTACAATAAATCGTTACGTAACGGCCAAGGTAACACATTAAGCCGCCTTAGATCTTAATGAAAATAAATAATTTATCAGACGTGCGAGATTTATTTACATTGGAACAATTCTACATTCATGCTGCGTGTATTTTTGTTTTCAAATTCCACACTGATGATTTTCCAGCATAATCAATCAGTTTCGTCTCCCCCTGTGAAAATTTTCTACCCCCGCCCTTCAAAAAGTTAGGGAAACAGGTACACACAAAAAATTATATCTTCCGATGATCGATCCCCTCTAAAAAAAATTCTGCGGGCGCCCATGCGTCTAAATCTGACCAATCGTAGGAATGAGCGCCTATAACTATAGAAATTAGTAATTACTCACCCTATTTTGTACTTCATGCTTCTTGCTTAGGTACTTGCGCTTAGTTTTTAACCCTTTCCTCAAACACTAGCACTTTCTCTCCATTATATTACTTATTTTTTCGCAAGTTAAAAGCGTTCGATTCCTTTTTAAACAGTAACTCACAAGTTCATTAGAATACTTTTAGCTTCCCTCTTTCTAGCAACTCTACGGCGTTGCCATATCTAGTTTTTAGACGTCAGAATTTAGAATATTTAATTTTTGCGAGCGTAATGTGAAACTGCTACAGAAATACCGATCAAATATAGCAGCAACCATTTTGGTTACGTTATCGCATACGCCTAATCTGTAATTAGTTACCCGTGTGGATGTTAATTTTCGAAACTAGATCTTCAACCTAAAGCCCACAATAATATTCCAACCAGACACAGAAGACGAAGAGCGCAAATCCAAGGTTACGAATAACCTACGTCTTCTTCTTCTTCATCTCATCGAGTGTAGCTTTCTCCCGAGACATTTACGTAATTTTAGATTCTCTTCAGTGTTCAAGAACCCAGTCGTGTAGGCAGGTATTATTTTGGTTCGTAGACATTGTAATCAAACCACATGCCTTATAATAAGATACAGAACCGAGCAGGAAAGAATTGGGTTCATAGACCCTGCTGAAACTCCATCTTTATATTTGGATAATTTTCTTGGAAAAATTTCTATAAAATTGAAAATTGTGCAATTGGTTATCTATTTCATATCGAGTGCGTTTCAAATAATGACAAATGTTACAGGATATGATTCTAAAAATCCCCAAAATTGTACACAAAACCATGCTAAATTTGATTTTGAATTTCCAATCTAATTGGCATTTGCGCAATGTAAAATGACTTAGTCAATCCTCTATTATCTTATACTACTGTGTATTAATTGCATTTCGTAACACACAAGAAATCAGGTAATAAACTTAAACTTATAATGAAATGCCCCTGGTATCACTTTATGCCGAAATATATTTTAAATCATTTAGATTGTATTATCAACAATCGCATAGTGTCAGAATTCCAGTCCTACCACCATAATAATAAATACCCTGTTATCAAACAGATACGCATAAAGCGGTGGACCATTTTAAAAAGTTTCTCGGACATTTCACGTTGTAAACTACGGTGAATTGGGGTTAATTACAAAATTAACATAGTTCTTTTTGTACCGACCACTCACTGCTGGTTCGTAAATTAGAACTTATCTCATTTATCGAAGAATGTATTTATGCAAATCCCATGTCTTATACCACAATCACTTGTTCTTGTCAACATAATAGCGAGAGACTCATTCTGGAGTGTTACAGTCTGTTCAAATATTGTCTTTTTCATCAGTATCCATTACGGTAGAATAAGTATCTAGTAATATTTCAAAATTCCCCATATCGACAAATGACACATAATTCTGACTGATCCGTCAACGCCAGGTAAACAGATTTACTATATTTACACCCGATTTATTATTGCCAAGTTACAGACTAATACAAAGATGTCACTTGCTAATCAGCTGTTTACCTTAGTAGACGTCAAAACGTGATGGATACTTGTGAAATAGGGTATAGGCATCATCAAGCCAGTGTTGCCATCCATACTACCTATGATGAATGGCTGTGTAATACTGATGATAGCAGACTGTATGACAATTGAAGGGCCACTTCATATTTACTAGTACTAATTCAACATATCTTTTTATCTCCAAAGTAATTTGGGACGTAGAATTCAAATATGACTGTATGAAAATCGTAAAGCGTTGTGGGGTCGACTTTGAGGATTGAATCACAGAAAGGTTCGCGACGGATTTTGGAAAAACATTTAATGGGAAGCGCCAAAATATTACACGAGTTTGTAAGAGAATACTCTATTTTTGTATTCAGTTGTCAAAACCGAATGAGACTCAGTATATTTATATGTAAAAATCGTTAATTGCCGTGGGATCAAGTCTTGAATATGATACAGGTATTTTCTGAACTAGGTATATCACTACTTCAATAATTAAAAAAAAACGCATTCAATTTACACAAATTTACTACTGTGCCGGTAACTGGACCCCGTAGAATTCCCGAATATTTTTCGTCCTATAAACTTACCATTTATCACACTGGCGTTCACATTATCCCCAAAACATCCCTTCACAATAACAACAGCCACAAACATCAAGTACTCTGACCACATCACTCATCCGTTTTCGATGCTTTTCACCAAGGAAATCCCATCACAAACCGCCTTTCCCTTTAACAATTCCTCGAGAAAATCCTGGATAAGTTAAATAATCCATAGCGCTTTCTTCGAACAGAAGTAGGAAACGGCAAAATGTAACGGAACATGCACTCGCGAGAGCAGCAGATCTGGCAACGTGGCAGCAGCGCGGTGGTTCGCCAAAGCTTGCTGCGTTTCACGACGCGTTTCTTCGACGACTGTCGACCGCGCAGGTTTGTCGTCTGTCGGCGACCGCGAGGTACCGACCGCGGTCACGTGATCATAACAAACAACCTGTTGCATTTAACGAGGAAGATGCTGGATCTATGGACCGATCGGTTATGCAGTAGCGGTACCGGATATAGGGCGAAGGGCGTCAAGACTCGAACATAGGTGAACTGCTGACAAAAGGAAAGCAGATATGAATCTATATTAGTGCCTCTCCTAATTATACTGTATATAAATGATCTGGATGAACTTTCCAATGGCCTAGTGAATTTTACATTGTATGTAGACGATGCTTGTCAGGCATAAGAAATGCTAACAATGAAACTTGAGCAGTTTCTAATGAAAAATTGTTGTAACGCCGTCTCGGAAGTTTGGGTTTTGTAAGGTTTGATTGTTTGTAGATTATTTGTTTTCTTATATTTTAAATTGTATATTCACTTTTAACGAGTTTTAATCATTGGGTGTGTCGGAAAGAGCAATAGACGGAAATTTAAAAACGGGTGATTTTTTTTGATAGGAGTAAGCTTTCCTGCCCGAAGTGTGAGATTCATGGTCCCCGTTAAATAAAAGATATAAAAAAGTCAAACATGTACATCCTGTGTTTAGAAATAAACACCCTGTACAAACAAAAAATGTGTGATTTAAGTTGAAACCTGGTTTAAACGGTCTTTTCACGTAGCCGATATATTCTGCGGCATCCACCATATTTTTAAATACATCCGACATTTATTCTAGGCGTATTCACCATATTTTCAAATGCTTCCGCAAATCTTCCAACAAAACAGTAAATTGTGTTAAGTATTCAAACCTCATTCACTTCCCGTCAAAACAACCATGAGCTGCGTCCATTCGCTTGTCGCTGCCACGCCCAGGCATTCAAAGGTTGTCAATATAGTTTTGTCAGGACCTGTATTGTATGCTAAGAGGTACAATTTCGGAGCCAAGATCGATCCCTGGGGAATACCCGCGATGACATTGTGGGACGATGAGGAGAACCCTCCAATTACGACGGATATCTTGCGGTCAGAGAGGCACTCAGCCATCCATCTGCAAAGCTTCTCTGGAAGGCCATAGGATGGTAGTTTATACCACTGTATGCATCTTTTTCTTTTCTTGGGCGAGGGGGAACAGTAAAAAAATAAAAACACATTTGTCTAATCTGTTTTATTTCCTTTATCATTTTTAAGACGCGTTGGAACGCCATCTGATTTCAAGAAGTACACATAATAAGTGGCCCAAGCGTAAATCACGCCTAAAGAACAGTAAGCCGACGTAAGCATCAATGGTAAGAACGGAAATTTATTCTGCAGGCCTAATGCTGGATGGACGACGTTTTCATATAAAAACACTGCTGCCAATCCTAGCAGATAAATGCTTTCTGCTGGGTTCAAAAGGGGCAATGAGAACCTAGAAAAAATAAAAAAATTTAATTTCAAAGCTACTACTATGCCAAAGACGAAAATGCGTTGTACCCTAATCTCAGACATGCCTCAAAACACTTTTATAAAGTCCTAGTATAGTAGTCGCGATCTTACGATAGACAAATTAGGAACTGAAAAAGTTGTTACAAAAAGTTTTATGAGAAAAAGATACTTTACCTGCAAATTGCTAGAGGGTACATCTTGTACAGACTATGGAATGCATACACCGTGTACAGGAGCAACAAAAGGACCTTGATTAACAACAAGTAAGGCGGAAATAGCAACGGAAACAATGAGTAATGGCCCACAGTTGACAAAAATAAGAATGTCTTCCCATCTACTGTTTCCATTATTGACAAAATTCTGAAAAAAAGACACTAGTCAAAAGTCTTGTAGGATGCTTATATTCATGGTACATTAAAGTGTAATCAATTGAATGAGAAGTTTTACATATAAAAGCATGTGTTCAACAAACCTGTGCAAATAAAAAGTACCAGCTTTGCAAATATATAATTCTGTGATTTTACAAATTCTGCAACAATTGACATATTTTGCATTGTTCATATTATATCACTTACGTCAAAGGTATAATGGCCATCAAAATTGCTTTCTCATGTACATGCCATCCAAACAAAAACGACGACAAAGCACATATCACCAAACATCTTAAAAAATTGCTAGGTTGCCTGTTCAAGTTGAATAACTTTACCATCGCAGGTAAGGTAAATATCACAGTCAGCAATATTGTTATAATAGGATGAATGCTAGGCAAAATGGAATGTTCATATTCTTGGACTAAACCTCCTGTCATTGTGGCTGTTGTAGATTTGCCTATGTTAAAGTTGAGTATCTTAGCTGAAAAAACAGGGCAAGAAACTACTGATAATAACTGTAAATTTTAGACCTCATCTTCATGAAAAGTGAAATAAGATGGTCACAGTATTACCTGCTAACAGTGCTATTTTGTCAGCTGTATTATAAAGAGCCCATACATTTGGAGCCCAATAAGCATGACTCAATCCCCTCTTGAAAGGAAACAGCCTAGAAACTATCTGCAAATCAGCTAGAATTATTATTTTTAAATTATAACTTTATAAAATTTTACTTGTGGCAAGTGGTCCCAAAATGGTAGATAGGTTGCAATGAAGACACTAACAACTACACTTCCTAGCAGTGCCAAGTTTTTGAAAGTGTTTTTTGAAGTCACTGTTTTCAAAGTAAGAGGACCTCTCAAACAATAGTGTCTTAATAAATACACAAAGTAAGCTGGGGCCATATAAATGTAGATATGTTTCAAGTTTAAAAGAACTGTAAACCAAAATGCTGACAAGATGTGTTTTCCCTAAAACAAAGTACAATGGGCATTGATTTTCTAAAAGTTTTCCATTATAATTGAATTTAACAGCACATGGCCAAAGAACAAGATAAGTATTAAGAATAAGAACCACTTACTTGAAGCATATATGCAATAGATATCAACAGTATTCCATACAACATGCCATTATACTGAAAATGAATATGATCAACCATGATAAGTCCACAATTTGCCAGTAATAAAATCGGTAGGACAACATCCTTTTTCCAACTTTTTTTTAAAGCTGAACAACACCTGGAATTTCGTACTTGCTTTTTGAACAAAATAAGCAGTAGTTTTAAAGTCTACTTACAGATAAACTCCAAGAGAATATATCAAATCGGTTATTATAACAGAGAGTCTCTGGAATAGAACTGTATTATCAGAAGTATAGTTTAATCTATGTAAGTCCAGCATGTTTTTATCAAAGAAGGGAGCTACATGTGAAAGCAGATATTCGAACCATGCAAAAAGCGGAGGGTAATCTAACGTCCAGGGGGACGTTTCATCGAAGTACCATTTTTTTATCGGTAGACTGTGGGTTACCGCTAACCAATTTCTGTGCACCTCGAAGTCTGTTGAATAACTGAAAAGGAAAATCCAGTATATGGGGCCGAAACCAAATCATAAACATCTACTTACTAAGCAGGGATAAGCAACAGTTTCACACAGGAAGTTAAAATAGTGACTGTAGCAATCATTGCAATAAATCAAAACCGATAACGGCAAAATAAACTTCTGTTTAACTTATATTTATAATCTTTTTTAAAAATATCCCTCAAAATGTCAAAACATGACAAAAAGTAAGGTTAGGTAGCCGTCTTATCGATTGTTTCCGTTATGATCGACTAGGAAAAGAGGCGTGCTCAGACGAGAAATAAGAGTGGTGTCAACTTTAGGAAAAGGTTGGTACACGTTCTGTCACGCCTCTTTTCCTCGTTGATTAGTAGGCGGAGTCACACACATTAATCCAACTAGAGAAAGATGTATGCTTACTGTCACGTGACGTAATAAATGTAATGACTTTGACAAATGACATGAAGGAAAACGTCAATCTATTGGTTTTGTTCTTGTTATGGTTTTAAAAAGTAGGTTTTGTAGACGATAATTATATTTTTCTTATAAGAAGAGCCTCAGAAGATGTCTTCGGAGTTGGATAATTGGATAGACATAGCTCAGCAATGCAAATATCTGCCTGAAAACGATCTAAAAAAATTATGTGATATTGTATGCAGTATTTTATTAGAAGAATCTAACGTTCAACCTGTTTCTACTCCAGTTACCGTATGCGGCGATATTCACGGACAAGTTAGTGGATTACATATGGAATTTAGTCGCTTTTTCGCTATACTAAATGCCTTTTCAGTTTTACGACTTGGAAGAATTGTTTAGACAAGGTGGACAAGTACCAGACACAAACTATATCTTTCTGGGGGACTTCGTAGATAGGGGCTACTACAGTTTGGAAACGTTCACGAGACTTCTCACGCTCAAAGCCAAGTATCCAAATAAAATAACTCTTCTCAGAGGCAACCATGAAAGTCGTCAAATAACCCAAGTGTATGGATTCTATGACGAATGTATGACCAAATATGGAAATGTTAACGCTTGGAAGTATTGCTGCAGCGTTTTTGATCTGCTGACTGTTGCTGCTGTAAGTATATTCCAAAATCTCAGATAAGGTGGATTTTAGTATAGATAAATTGTCCATTATTGATTATTCACTCATAATTTTTTTGGGCCACTCGCCTATTTTTTATTACCAAAAAAAAACATTTATGATTTCAAATGTTGGCTCTCTTTGCAAGTGACACGCCTCATTTTGGAATTTTTTTAACTCTAAAATAAACCAAAAACTGAATCCCAAGAATGCTATTCTTTCTCCAATAACAAAGATAATTTCATAAAGTTGAACGAATCTATTTTTTTTTTTGAATCATCCATTATATTGCTTACACCTTATAACAATCTGACTGACTTTTGTATGGGTTGAATGTTCTAGATTATAGATGAAAAAATATTTTGTGTTCATGGTGGTCTAAGTCCTGATATAAAAACCTTAGACCAAATTCGGTTGCTTGAAAGGAATCAAGAAATACCACATAAAGGAGCATTCTGTGATTTGGTATGGTCAGATCCTGAAGAGGGAGATACTTGGTGAGTGAATCATAAAAATCAGGAAATCACTTTTCATACACGGTGTCCCATCTCAATCTCCCCCTCCAAAAACTTTCACATTGGAATTAAAAACGTAAGTAAATTTTACACCTGGACGTGACCTTGGTCTTCACCTTAACCATTGCCTTCTAAATCAAATCAAGATGTCAAAAACAATTTGCTCTACGAAAAATATTCAACAGCACAGTTGTGAGGTTTTTGGAAATGAGAAAAGCAGTAAATTTTTGCGCAAAAATGTATTTTTCTCTGAGAATTTTGAATTAACCTTGAAGGGCATCGTCAAGGTCACGTTTGGGTGACCCTCACAAGCCTCGCTGTAGAACATTTTTACTGGAACAAAGTTTTCTTGATTTGACCTTGAAATTACCGTGAAGACAATGGTCAAGGTCAATGCTAGGGTGACGTAAAATTTGCTCGTTTCAAGTCCGATGTGAAAAACGGGGGGTTTCTTTGAAAATATTCATTCGACCTTGAAGGTTGTAGCCAAAGGGAACCGTGTATACTACCATTATTATGTACACTACTCAAAAAAATTAACGGAGTAAGAAAAAGTACAAAATTTTCGGAGACTTTTGACATGCTTTTTTGACATTCTTTGCGCTATCTGTTAGAATTACATGAGTATCATTGGTCCTAAAATTTCATAAAATCTAGATACGACCATTTTTCACCGAAATACACCCTTCAGAAATCACCGAAAATTTAGTATTTTTTTATTGTTTTATTGTTCTCTTAATTTTTTGGAGTAGCATAGATTTCAAGCAAGTTGATAAACATACCATGTTTTAGGGCTACGAGTCCTAGAGGAGCTGGATATCTGTTCGGATCTAAAGTGACACATGATTTCCTTAGAATCAACGCATTATCATTGATATGTAGGGCACATCAACTGGTCCATGAAGGTGAATACTTACATTTTTTCTAGGGAAGCAGCAAGTACTATGTTTATACCTCTCACATTTTACCGATTACCCGCTTTTGACGAGTATTAAAAAACTAGGCAACATAAAAAAAAATAGTAGCTATTGGTCAAACTTTTCCATTTGTAACTGTACTCTATGTATTGCTTACAAGAAAGTCGATTGAACTGTATTAAATTTACCTAGTAAGGATCTCGACCAAGAACATGACACCAACACCTTTCTAAAATACTTTTTTTAATATAACAATTTTCTGAGTATAAGAACTAAAATCGGCACATTTTTCTGCAAATCAGGCAAACACCACCCCCCATTTCTCAGAAACTAATCATACGATTGTTTTGGTCCCATCACAACTTTTGTTCAGGAAGACGCAAAAAATATCCCACTAAATTTTTAGACACATCGATTGTAACCTATTTTCCATATGCTTTGTGCAGGGTCCTTTTACCAATCTTATCATTGAAAGTATTATCAAATGCTATTACATTTTGCAAATATTCTCTATTTGATAAATCATTCAGGCTTTAATGCTCAATATTTTTGGATTTGAATAAATAACGGCATTTTCTTCTAGGATACAAATACATGTTTGACAACAAACTAGTGACTGTTTGGTCGGCACCAAATTACTGTTACCGTTGCGGTAACATTGCAAGCATTCTCGAGTTCGCCACCCCGGAAAAGGTAGAACCAAAATTATTCAATGCTGTCCCAGATTCTGAAAGGGTGATCCCAAGCAGGACCGTCACCCCGTACTTTCTATGAAGCTGTGAATTTTATTATACTTTGTGTATTTAAGTTTATATTTACACTAAAAAATTTCCAATAAAAGCACGTAGATTATTTCTCTTCTCAATCTCCGCGGTTCCGTTCCCCTCAATGAGCTTCTTACCACAAATGTTTATGCACAAATAACAATGCAAAATACATTTATGTGCCCACAATGTTGGGTGAAATAACTAGTAGTTTTCCAAATCGTCGTGGAACACTCTGTACAAATGAAATGCAAATATGTATAAAGAAAAATATTAAGCATACTTTATGTAGATATGATTGTGGAACTTTCACCAAAAAATTTGTTGTAGGTTTTGTGCTAGAGTGCTGCCGCACCCTGCATCTGTCAAATTCCGCTAAAATTAAGAATAAAACACAATTTTCTCTATAAAATATATATATTCATAATAAAATATGTATATAAACAAAATACTTAAATATAGTTACAAAATGAAATTTAGATATAACAGTAAAGCGTCATAGCTCCTAAACAAGCTTGAAAAAACGCAACCTCTTTGAGGATGAGCAAAATAATAGTTTATGTAAAAAACCGCAACACCCTGTCGCAGAAGATTCATCAAACTTAGATCTAAACAGCCCCCTATATGATAGGAGAGACGTACATCGAAATCTTCTCGATTCTTCAGTACTCTGCATATCCAGGCAGTATGAAACCCTCGCTGAACTTTTCGATTTTCGACCTCAAATCCGCTACCGCCTTGGACACCTCGGGATGCTCATGAATCACCTTTTTGAAGTCTACCAGTTTTGGTCCAGAAATCGTGTTAGCTTCTTGGGCCAGCTTCAAGGCTTGGTCGATGTATTCCACTACCTGATCGATGTGTTGCTCCTTCAAGCCTCGGGTTGTTAAAGCTGGCGTGCCTGAAAAAAATTGTACATGAAGCACAAAGTTACATCGTTCTCCAAATAGATGTCCAATAATAAAGTGATTTACAACAAGGATCCAGGACTACAAGAGCCGCTTTCCAGTGCCTCGTTTCAACAAGTTAAACATTAATAACCTCCAAACTTACCCAATCTAATTCCGGACGGATTCAAAGCGCTCTTATCGCCAGGGACAGTGTTCTTGTTACAGGCGATGTTCACCTCCTCCAAAATGTACTCTCCCTTGGCCCCTGTCAACTTGGCCGATCTCAAATCGACCAGGAGCATGTGCAGATCAGTGCCTCCTGTCACCACCTTGTAGCCTTTCTTCTGGAGTCCGTCGCTGAGCCTTTTCGCGTTCGCCACCACCTGTTTAGCGTACGCCGTGAACTCGGGCGTTTGCGAGGCCCGCATCGCGTTCGCTATGGCTGCTATGGCGTTGTTATGGGGACCGCCTGGAAATAATTATTTGACTTAGTGCCGTAGGACGCATTCATGGCCTCCTTGATTTTCACAGTATTTTCTCTCGCGCAAAAAGGCTCTAGAATTCTACTGTTCCGTGTCAGCGTCAGCGCTCTCCTACTGTGAGGTTATGTTTTCTTTTTGAATGTTAAGGAATTTGAGGATGATAAACATGATAAAAATCAGCCTCAAATTTCTTAGAATTCAAAAAGAAAACGTAACCTTATTTACCGAAAACGTCCTCATTTTCAAAATTCAATGTTTCTAGATTTTTTACTGAAAAAGATCTGAAATCAAAAATGAGGTTGAAACATGGATAAAAAATCCGCGGAACGTGTACATTATATCCCCCATTAAAAATCCTCCAAATTTGGGGGAAAATCCTACAACATGGCAACCCTGTCAAAGCACCACTGTTACACTGTGCTTCAAGTTTTGACGTCGTTTGTAAATCATTTGGCACAGTAATGGGATGTAGATTGGCAGATAAAATTTTACTCTGGAATACTGTGAAACTTCATTCTTAGAACGCCTTTATTTGTCTATTTTTCTGCGACCATTGCAGTTATTATAAGAGACCCTACGGATACGAGGTAGCATTTATCATGAAAAGTATACAGGGTGTTTTCAAAGTTGGATCATTTATTTTAACTGCTTCTAGGACTCGTCAAAAAATCACCTATACCTACTTTGAAAACACCCTATACTTAGTCCTGAAAGGAACAAAAGAACTGGATCAAGGTTTTGCTATGTTTACCTTGCAATCCAGGAAATACTGCTTGGTTAATCCTATTCTCCAGATCATACATTATTTTCTCTCCTTTGGCGTTGACAGATCTTACACCCTTTCTGAAGAAAATCACAGCAGCCCTTGGGCCTCTTAGACTTTTGTGGGTTGTTGTTGTGACAATGTCACTGTATTCGAATGGACTTGGGGTCACACCTATAATCAAAACACATCAAATAATAAAAACGTTATAGATTAAACATTAAGTTGTATTGAAAACTTATAAAATTGTCCTGAGGTATTAATATTCTGCCTCTGTGCCGCGGGGATTCTGTGACACCCTGTATAGTCTAGGCCCTACTAGTCAATGCAACGAAGAGTGAAAAACGAAAATTACAAAGACATATTTGACGAAATATTGTCCTTACCAGCAGCGACAAGTCCGGATATGTGAGCCATGTCGGAGAAGAGGTACGCTCCAACATCGTCGCAAATTTCCCTGAACCTCCTATAGTCTAAAGGTCGCGAGTAGCAACTTACACCAGCTACTATCACCTTGGGTCTGAACAATCTTGCGGTGCGTGCCAGCTCGTCGTAGTCGATCAAACCGGTTTCAGGGTTTACCTGCAAAAAAAGCGTCAACTAGACTCCACCCAGGGCATATGATGACGCCAAAATGACGTCGTTATTCGGTCATTTTTGGTCGGAAACGTCGTTGACTAAAAAGTGACGTCTTTAAGACGTCTTTTAAAAGGCTGTCATTTTGACATTATTTACGACAGAAAACTGAACACAAAAAATATAGACTTTTAATGAACAGATGTCCAAATAGTAATAACTATTTTATTGTTATGTACTCGTATAGAGCCTTTCCCTCTTTGTGTCAAAATCACATCAAAATTCGAACGATGCGTTTGATGTTATATATATCATATAATACATATCTCATTTTTGTATTTCTAGCAAAAAAGTTAAAAAAGAGCCACGTTACAAAGGGATAATATCATAAAGCATGTTTTTTTTTGACGGACATTGTGTACAGACAGGTGCTTACCTTGTATGGCATGGATTCAAAGAATATAGACGTGGCAGATATCTTTTTCGTTGGTGTGAAAAAACCGTGGGTTAAATGTCCACCATCAGGGAGATCTAGACCCATGATACGACCATGGGGCTCCACGATACCTGAAAGTTCGTAAAAAAATAAATATAAACAAATAAAGCGCTTTGGAGGCACAGTTTGAAATGATTACTCAAATGTCCTGAGTCATTAATATTCTGGTAAAAATTTTGGCGGTCAGTTACGTCTGGTGGTTATACGTGATCTTGCTTTCCTTTATATGTTATATAAATGTAATGTTATACGCCGTCCGATGACTCAGAACACTTTTATAAATTTGCAGTTACATGATTTTTTCATTTAATTATAGAAAAATTTTCTATGTTCACCTGTGTATACTGCAAAGTTGCCAGGTGATCCTGAGTACGGCTGTACATTGCAACCCCACTTTTCTGGGTCACATTTGTAGGCTGCTAAGGCTCTTTTCTGAGCTAGGATTTCAATTTGGTCAATGTACTCATTACCACCATAGTACCTAAATAAAAAAATGTGATAGTAATTTATATTTTGAAATTCCCTAGCTGGAGGTACACTCAAAGGATCTAGCAACAACATTTAATTGGATTATGTTTTATCAGTAAACATATATTTTGCAAGGTTATCTGTAAGGTATTACTATGGAATGTTGTATAAGTAAACAGCTATCACTAACAACAAACTCTGCCAATAAACATTCCACAATATTTCAAAAATACTAATCATTGATTAACACATATCCCAAGAAGAAGCCCAACCTTATGCTGTGTTTAGACAAAGAAAATAGTCTTAAATATCAGTTTTCCTAGGAAAGATCACCACTCAACCCACCACAATTACAAATAAGATTTATAATACCAGAATTTCGCAATGACTAAAACAGAAATCGCGCTTAACCTGTCGCGACAATGCTTAGACCTAAAGATGGTGGTCAACAGGTATATAGCTCTAAGCAAAAGTGGTTGACAAAATTTATAAATCTGTTTATTAAATAGCAATTACTAGACCATATTTTTAATGATAGTGGTATATATTTCCAATCTGGTGTAAAGCTATTTTGTACTTTTTTAGATTCTGATCTTAAATTTACCAGCCACGTAAATCATGTCTGCAAAAAAACTGAACAACGCCTATTTAGCTATTTTCAAAATGAAACCCCTCCTAAGCCGGGATGGTCTTTTAAGCCTATACTACGCATTTGTTTGCAGCCATTTGCCATTTAATATTGCCACTTGGGAAGTGTCTACTGATATTAAAAGAGTATTCAGTTGCGGGGTCGCTAACACATTAATTTTTTTCTTACTACTTGTCAATAAAATTGCCAAAAAATCAAATTGAAGAAATTATTTTTTCTAGGTGTAATACTAATAATGTCACTGTAATAATAAAAGTTGTATGTTTCTGAGCGTTTGATCACTGATATTTGAATACATAATGAGTACCGAAATAGCTATGTACGTATATATATACAGGGTGACTTTGAAGTTGAGTCATTAATTTTCAGATAATGATTGTAGGAGGAAGATAAACCAAAATATGTGTGTAAAAATAAAAAAAAATAAAAAAAATGTTTACCTTGTTTTATAAAGTATCCTCCCGATAAGTATTTCAGTGCGGACCTGTATTTAATCGTGAGGTGCCCTGTGAGGTCTTAAGTCACCTGATTCACGAGCCCGTTGTACTACATTAACAAAGGCACGAGGGGTTGGTTACACTCGATTGGGAAACCGATCCGCATAAACATGTGCCATTTTTTATTTCGTTTGAGCCGCGCAACAGACACTATTCACACGCGACTGACACTGACTGTATGTATAACTGAACTGAATGAAATAAAAACATCGTTCCAAATTCTTTCGCTTTTTTGTTTCCGATGCGATGAACCGATAAGGTGGATTATATCCGTTGTTGCCAAACACGAGTACATGATATTATTATTGAGACAGGGCGGTACTCAAACTTCCAAAGGGCTATAACTTTGTTACTTTAATTTTACCAGAAAAATGGTAAAGGAAAAAAACATTTCTTTTGATCAGATCTACTCACTGTTAAAATAAATGACTCAACTTCGAAGTCATAATACATACATATAACTTGAGACATTTAGACCAGTTAGGTGAAAAAGAAAGCTTCCACCTTTTGTAGGGTACTTTGACAAAATTCAAGCAAAGATGACTCTTTATACTTTATTAATCTCTAGCTTTCAATGGACTTTGCCATCTTCATCAGGAGCTGCAATAACATTGAGAAGAAATAGCAACTACTGTGCAAAATGATGTTAAATTAACTTATAGTCGTATGTGAGATTGTTGCTAAATGTTATTAACGTTTAGGTTGAGGGAAACAACCATTAACCTGGTGTATACAACTGTATATATACAGCTTGTTGCTTGATAATATGATAAGTTATTTCACATATTTACCATGATGAAAAAGAAAGAAATGTATTGTTTAACAATGATAGAAGAGCCACTCCCAGCGATATTGTCAGGCGAAAAATCGCGGAAGTCTCGTTATCCGTCAGTCTCATTTGTGAAGATGAAGCATTGAACCATTTAATGATATGTAAAATGAAGCATTTATTGATATGTAAATTTGTAACAGATTGAGTATTTTGTTAAAAATGGATGCATAAATAAACTTATTTGATAACCCTAAACCCCAAAACAGATGTCAAAATATGTAAAAAAAACAATTAATACTCCTTAGTTTACTCCCTTGTTATCAAAAATTTTCTTGCATGTGATACTGTAATTTGATGTTGTTTACTTAGTATTGTATTTATTTGATTTCAAGACAGATGTTGAAAAAGGTGGTCAATAATGGAGGAAAGAGTATCTATTTTCAGGCAACCAATACTCCTCCATTGGCATTGCCAGTGAAATAATCTTGAACCCAGCACTCATTGTCACAGGGCCTGCCATGTCAATTGCCAGATTCAAGAAAGCTCTTTATGAATTTCGTGCAACATTTTAGCTATCTTGTATGGGGCACTGACCATTCGACTTAAGCAACGTCAAAGAAGAGCAAAAATGTAGTACAATATAATAATGGGAAATATTAACAGACACAAACACATATACATATATAAAAAATAAATACAAAATATAAACTGGTTGTTACAAAAAAATTATCAAAAATCGTACAAGGGTAACTGGCCACAATTAGGTAGTTCCTAAACATTTCTTAGTTTGCTGAATAGCAAATATTTTTTTGGTGAAAAAAAAATAGATTAATGAGTGCAGTCAGTGAACAACGGCACTGTAGTGCTTTATGACCAAAGAGTTGTGATAGCAGCTAAAAGAACTACAATCCCCTGCAGTGAATAATGCAAATTTTGAAATATTTACCTTTGTCCTGGCAACCCTTCTGAATACTTATTGTGCAAGCAAGAGCTGAGACACTGTAATACTGAGAGGGTAGTGAAATTTTCTGATGCGATCATTTCTAAACCGGTTTGTTGTCTCTTCCTTTCCTTCTTGATGAGTTCGAACAACTCAGGATCACTGTCCCACACATTGGAGTTCAATACCTTTGCTAAATCGCTACTCATTTTTGCTATTTGCTGCACCGCAAGTCTATTCTGAAACAATAAACTAGTTAACTTTCTCCGTAACATTTTCCTTTTTCACTAAACTACTTTCGAGAGGAGATCGCACGAAACTAACCTTAAAATTTTCCGACGCAAGAGCACTGATAAAACTGAGGATAGTTTTGATATAAACTTCTTATATCATTCCAATCCAAGCTATTGCATAAATGTATGTCGTAGTCGTTCCGATACTGTAACCAGTATGTATTTTTTTCCAAAATTGATAACCTACGTAACATGGTGTTGCAAAATAATGATAATTTTATCTAAACAAGAGGCAGCGCTTGTATCAAATACATTAATTTATACAAATCGTAGTCAAATCTACTTGGTGTAAACTGATTTTGATAGTTTATTGACCTTAAATTAGTAAAAAACTTGAAAATCTCACCTTGGAATTCAACAGGTGTTTGCACTTCACAGAAAGGCGCGAAAACATTTTTTTGTTGTTTTTTAAATGTTACAAACATTGACCAATAGATTTCTTTAGCAGTGTAACAAACGAAGAGGATTGGATATTTTGAAGATTTGCGTAGAAGAGTACGTGGAATTGACCCCGCGGGTTTCCTTATCTGGATTTAGTGCGATTTTTAATTATTATTATTTTCTCATTTATATTTTAATGAAATCTGCTAGGGGGGTCTTCTGATAAGATATGGTTTTCATAAATATTCACCAACAATCACACTATTTTCAATCGAGAAAGAAAATAATTTAGAATTCACAGGATCGATTTTTTAAATCTCAGTGTTCGTCTAACTCAAACCGGCTACTTCACTAATCAATATTCGCCAACAACAAATTATTATAAACATAATATTTTATCATTACACAAAATATGCAGTTCAGTAGGTATCTGAATGATGACAATAGAAACGATACAAACCATTTCATATTCAAAAATTTCAATGTAGGCAATTTTGCTATCTAAAGCGGGAGCCAGAAATTTTTCATTGTCTGATAGTTCTTTTGATTGACTACATTAGCGTGTGCTTAGCATCGTAACTGTTAAAATAAATCTAGTTTTTTTAGAAAATTTCTCCAGCCAGTGGGATTAGGACACCACTCTGTTATAGGTTTTAGTCGTGAAGGTTTCAAGAAAATTATCCAGACTGTAGAGAACTCATAACTTTATTAGATTTATCTGTGATTATATATAATAAGCATAGGGATGGATTTGGATTCATCATTGCAATTTGGAAGGTATATTTGTTATTTTGGTATTTAGGACATGTTGGAGGTACAAAATTTTGTGTTCAAGATAATGCTTTTGTAAGTGATCTTATCGGCTGTTATCTTTTCGTCGACAATAAATACATTCTTTATAGATATTCCTGTAATTTTATGAAAAAATATTAATGAAAAAGGTGCTATTTTGCCAATAGTAGGTCGGGTACTTTTCATTTGTCGGACAGCATTCGATTGGATGGTTTTAGACAGAAACGTATTTAAAAATTTATGATAGAAATTAAACACACTCATACTCTATTCGATATGGATATTTTTATCAAAGATGCATACAAACAATTTTTGTAAACCTAATTAGGAATAAGCAGTCAATTTCTAGAGGCGTGGTCACTAAAAAGAAACTACGCCCCTTTTTCTAATTGACTACACGGAATCGGACTTCAATTCCATGTGAGTGATGACAGATCTGTCAAATCACATGTTTGTCACATGTGTCAAAAAAAGAGTTAAAAATCGGTGTTTTGCAGGAAGAAAATTATAAAACCTCTCAATTTTCTCAATAATTTGAAATGTCCTCGGTTACAAACATCGCACGCACTTTATTCCTGAGAAGTTGTAGGCTGCACCGTGCAGGAATTACGTGCAGACATTTCAATGGTCTTGCAAAAACGACTTTCAGACGTCCCGGTAAGGTTAGGTTTTGCAGGTTAGAGGCTCCCTTAACTCTCAATATTTTAGCCGTTCTATCGCAAATAAGGCTCACAAGCACCGAAACTGCTACCAAGAGCGATGAAGAATATCACACAATTATCAAAGACACGGAAAAACCAGTGGGTATGTTGCTGTTTTCAAACCTTCGGTCCATCATCTTACATTTATCAAATTTCTAGGCGAGAGTACCAAACACGACTTTCAAGCAGAAACGAGGATGCTGCTCGATATAGTAGCAAGATCATTGTATTCTGAAAAGGAGGTATTTGTAAGGGAATTGATATCTAACGCTAGCGATGCTTTGGAAAAGTTCCGGTACCTCTCAGTTTCAGAAAGTGAGAGTGACAAGATTGTTGACAAAGATAGACCCTTAGAGATCCATATATCAACTGATAAACATAATAGAACACTGACAATACAGGTAAATGTTTTTACTGGATGTCTGAGTATTGAGATCACATTCACAAAAGTTAAATTTTAAACAATAACTAAAAGAAGCCTAAAGACAAATAAGCCCATCCCTATGATGAAGAAGGGTTTATTGCAAGGCTAGGAATTATGGTACAGTTTTAACAATACCTATTTAGTTTACTCTGACTTGATACAAATTATAGAATTCTATTCAGAAACTGCTTTGACAAATATTCGATAAGGTGGTCAAACATTCTGAGTTTCTATTTAACATAATTTTATAGGATACAGGTATTGGCATGACTAAAGATGAGTTGATCCAAAATCTGGGGGTAATAGCTAAATCCGGATCAAAGGCAAGTATAACCAGTAGTTGTAAGTTGCTGATCAGTGTTGATTTGAAATATTATACATTTAAAAAGGTTTGCCCTCAAGGCTGTTGTTGCAGTGGATTATTGTATCTTTCCTGTTTTTTTTCTTGTCTCTATTTTCTGATATGGGTATTTCAGGCGTTCTTAGAACAGTTGAAGTCGAAACAAGGTACAGCAGATAGCAGCATAATAGGTCAGTTTGGTGTTGGTTTTTACAGCGCTTTCATGGTGGCTGATAGAGTAGATGTATACTCGAGGGCTGTTGGTGAAGAACAGGGATATAAATGGACATCAGACGGGTAACCAAATATAATAATATATAATATTAACCATCTTCAACTTTTCTCAGATCTCAGTATAGTATTCCAAGCCAATTTCAGAAATTTCTTCATCCAAAGAGTTGATTTTGGGTGTTACGGGTGCTATAATTATATTTTAGAATTCTTAGGCATTGTTTATATTCCAGCACTGGCACTTATGAGATCCAGCCTGCAGAAGGAGTGCAACCAGGCACGAAAATCGTGATTCATTTGAAGTCGGACTGTCGCGAGTTTGCAGATGATGAAACTATCAGAAACATCATCAACAAATACAGCAACTTTGTCGGCAGTCCGCTGTATTTGAACGGGAAAAAGGCGAACATTGTTCAGCCTTTGTGGTTGGCTGATCCCAAGGCGGTCACTGTCCAACAGCATAATGACTTTTACAGGTACAATTGAATTAATTTTCAAGGTTGCAGATCATAATAAAGATTTTTTGACTTGTGTGTTGAAAAAAGTTTATTTGAAATTCGTGCAATGGAAGAGAACTTATTTAAATCTGCTATCATTCTCGAGAGAATGAGGATAGAATATTTTGTATTTCATGTCATCCATCACGCTTTGACGTCTACTGAGGTGAACAGCTGATTAGCAGGTGACCTTTCTGTATTACTTTGCAACTTGGCAACAATGAATCGGATGTAAAAAGTGCTTGATGCGTTTTTTTATGCAAATGTACTTTTCTAAATGAAAGAGCTGTTAGCAAGTACAAAATGAATCTGTAGGGCACAAAAAAATACTAAATACGGCTCTGTCTACCTGGCGTTGACGGATCCGTCAGAATTATGTGTCACTTGTCTACTAGTACTAGTCAATCAGCTGTCATTCTACCGTAACGGATACTGACAAGCTCCATTGGCCGATTACATAACCTCACCTACTTTTGCGAGGTTGCCAGTTGTCGCATACAGATGTGATAGCAAACATAACAAATTTTTTATTGTGTATGATTTAAGAATGTCTTTTTTCAGATTTATCAGCGGTAGCTATGATGTTCCAAGGTATATTCTGCACTACAAGACTGACGTTCCGCTATCGATAAGGGCGCTTTTGTATTTCCCAGAGGGCAAGCCGGGTATTTTACATAGTTCTTTCGGTAAAGAGCTCGAATAATTTTTGAAAAACTTCAGGTTTGTTCGAAATGTCACGCGAGACTGAATCAGGTGTAGCTCTATACACGAAAAAGATACTGATCAAGAACAGAACAGATAACATTCTACCAAAGTGGTTGAGGTTTGTCAAAGGGGTGGTCGATTCGGAGGATATTCCTTTGAATCTGAGCAGGGAACTTTTGCAAAACAGCACACTGATCAAGTAAGTAAACCTGAATTGAACTTCTACGAGGTCTGTAAATTAAGTGATGAGTCTGGCAACGCAGCGTTCAATGTGGCAACACTGGAAGCGCCGGACTTGGAGGGAAGTCAAGGAAACACGTGATCCGCATTCAGTACAAGTTTGAACTCGCTCGAGCCATTTACAGCTCTCGTAGAATCAAATGTAGATGTAATTAAAAATTAAATTTTTTACTTTTTAAAGCAAACTGAGGGGAGTCCTGGCTGCAAAGGTGGTTAAGTTTCTACAAGAGCAGATGAAAAAGAATCCTGAAGAGTACGAAAAGTTCTATAAAGATTATGGTATATTCATCAAAGAAGGGATAATCACCAATCACAACCAGCTTGAAAAGGTAAGTGATTTGTTATTCAACTACTAAAAATTGAAACTGGATTTTAAGCCGAAACCAAAAGCGTTTCTTTGGCTTCTGTTTTAGTTTCGATCGAAACAGGAACTTTTTTAAGGGTAGTGTTTGTTTATAATGCAAGAGATTATTATTATTATTATATGTCACTTAGTATAAAATGAACTGCAATGCTACTGAAGATTCAAAAGTTTAATAAACAATACAGGATAAATGTAAAAAAATATTACACTGAGTATATATCAACATACGGTCCTTTATTTAACGTACTGTTATTATGAAGGCACTCACAACAAAATAATTCAAATGCGCAAAATAAAACACTTTAACAAACATAACGATTCGAGTAAGAAGATTCCTGTTAAGGCTGAAAACATGTTTTCAATCGAAAGCCTCGCTACTTTCTGTATTCCTCTCTGCAGTACTTTCATGTTCCGAATCATCCACATCGGAGTCTTCTGGCAATTCCTCTTCTTCGTCATTTTGCTGTTCGCTACTTTCTGCGGCAGTACTTTGAGATAGAATATCCTCCCCTTCCAGATCTTTATTTCTCAGGTTGCCCATCCAGAAAGCCGCTGAACAATTGTTGGCTACTAATGTTGCTTTCACTCTGCAAGAACAAAATAAAGGCAAACGTGTACCAACGGGTAAACTTCCTAACAGTCACCTACCTGTAAACGAGCGTTTCTAAAATCAGCCTGAACTTCGGTACGAACGCTACGAGACTCGAGTCCTTCATCAGTTTGGAATAACAGCAAAGATGATGCAGAAACCTTGTACTGATTTGGAGATTTTTGAAAATCCTGACGACTTCATCGGGTCTCGAGCGCAACGTCAGCTCCATGATAGGTATTCCGTGCGACAGGAACACTTTCAGAATTTCTATGGATTTCTTCAAAAACGAACCTAAGACCGCTTTCGTGTTCTTTGCCTTGGCGATGCTCATCAACCCTTGCATCGCTAGGGTCGTTGTGTCCCACAATTGGAGATGTTCCGAGTTCGTTAAGGCCTCTACCTCTGTTTTCACCCTGAAAGGCGCGTTTATCAGACGACCTAGTTTTTGGTAAATGGAGGAATGATGGAAATTTATGATAACTACTTAGTGTTTAAAGAAATTTCGTCATTGAAAAAAATCCAAAAAATATTTTGTGCTAAAACATTTTAGAAATATCTACAGGCTGCGCCATCTTTTGTGTCGGTATGTAAACATGAAATAACTTTGAAAACGAAAAACTACCTTCTATATATCGGGTATTTTTATTAAATATGGTCCTTTACAATTTATTGGGACTAGTTTTTGAACACATCTTTTATCGCCAAATAATGTAGCAGAACTTTTCGAGGGATTTAGTCTCAAGTTGTGAGATCTACACTACCTGTTAATACTATCAAGATCTCCATTTACTAGCGACATGACTCGTGGACATTGTCGGCATTTAAGCCACACTTCAACTACGCATCCCCAGCAAAAAATTGGACATCAATTTAACATGTAAATCTGCAGTGTAAAGTGAGAACATCAATGGTCCCAGCACCGAGCCTTGCGGTACACCCGATTGAACGTATTTTAGAAATTTGATTTTTGATAATAACTGAAGTCTAACTGCCTCTGACATTGCAATTCATCATTTTATAGTTTCAACTAAGCTTAGTATATTCGGTAAAAAATACTATTTCAGCTTACCTTTTGAGGAGAGCTGTACACAGAGCATTGTAAAAGATGTGAAAGCACTGCTTGTCGATGCTATTCATCATAGGCAGGTAATCTTCCTTGGCCTTCAACATGTCAGCTTGTTCTTGCAATTTTCCAACAAGACCGCATATAATTTTGGCACTGACCCCGCCCAAGTACGCTTTTATCAGCGTGTCAACGTTGGTGTTGTAATTTTTGCCTGAATCGAGCGCTCCCTTGGAATTGTACCTAAGATAAATTGAAACTGTAAGGAATAATCTTGGAAAAACGTATAGACCTCCTGCGTTTTCGGCTAGACGTGCACGTCAAAAGTCTCTGACAATTTGAATTGACGCACTTTGTCATCGAGAGGCAAGCTAGATGTACTTTTAATAGCCGGCTTTTACTTTGCTCAAATCTCATCTTACCATCTTCTGGAAAGCAACTTTCCAGCGGCGGCTACAATTTTTTTCTGTATTTCATTGTTCGGCGTTGTTATGCTGTACAAAACTTGAACTGTTTTTATAAGATGTACACCTTGCGAAATTTCAAGACACTGTTCCGTATATCCGGTGAATGTTACGATGCATTCAGTAATCAGCCGATTCGCTGAAAGTGGAATTTGAGATTCCGCATCTCGGAGGCTTATTAGTAATTTTTTCAACAGCTAAAATAGAAGTAAGTAAAATTCAGGTTAGAGAATATTGATTATTAAATGCCTTGTTACAACATTTGACAGATTCGTACCTCCAGGTTGCTATGATGTTGGAATCCGGTCCAACTGAACAACAGATAAAAAATTTCGATCGTCAAGCCAAAACAAGCTTTTAAACCCAGACATTCCTCAGTGAATAATTCTGCTCTATCTGTTATACCATCAACCTCTTCGAGAACTCTATTAATTCCTCTCACAACGATCTAAAATACAAACAGCTAGGTCAACATACTTATGGGCACTATAAAAGGGTTACAGGTTAGTAAAATCGGGCCTAAGGATATCGAAGCTCATCACAGACGTTAATGTATGGAAGAGTTCAAGTGGAAAACTTGACATAAGTACCTTTAAGTGGCTGTTTAAATTTGGCAACAAGACAGCTCCGTCGGTGACTATGTGAACTGGTACGACCATGTTGAGATGGGAAAGGCCTATGTCTTTTCCTTGCGTCAAGACAGAAACTTTGGACACGAAGTCTTTCAAAATAAATTTGAGTTGATCGACGGTCAAAGTAGCTGTTTGCGTAGTTGGTATCATATCCTCATCTTCCGTGAATTTTATAGGATACTGGAAAAAATCGAAACAAAACGGGAAACTAAATAATCGAGCAATCTGTAAAGTATTATGATTTTTTTGTCGATGTAAAACTGACTTCATAATATATAAAAAAATTCCTTCGAGCTATGAAACGTCAAAACACGAATTTTGAGCGATTTTTATTATTTTTTTTTTCGTTGCCTGTATCCCCGCCGCCACTGTATCGATTTTCAAAACCCGCAAAGCTTTTTCGTGCTTGAGATAGTAGTAATTTAGTGTGAAAATTTCATCAAAATCCCATTGGTAATTTTCAAGTTATAAAGAGGACAAGACCTAGCGGACAAACAGACAGAAACGATTAACATAAAAACTCATTTCCGAAATTTTCCGCGACAATACTTCTTCGCCAATCGGCGTGGGAAGTAACACAATGACTACTATTTTTATAAATTGCGTTCAAAAATTAATCAAATTTTACCTTCAACAATAACAATAAGTCAGTATCCATTTCTCTAAATCTGATCTCATTCTCGCTATCGAACGATCTTATATTTGATTTCTTCTTGCTGACAGCTTGAGTATTGGCTTGCGTCGCAGCGTTCGTTTCATCGTGTTCAGTTCCATTGGTGATTTTCAATTTTTTCCGTGGATTCTTCGGTTTGCTGTCTTTTTTCATAGGTGATACGGTTTTGTTCAATTCATGAACAGAGTCGAAATAGCTGCACGGAAGTTTGTGCTCGGGACATCTTTGCAGGCACTTTCTCAGTTTTTCTTCCAGTTCGAGGAGGTTCTGACAATACAAAAAAATTGAGTTGCGTGCAGATATACTCGATGACAAAAGTGTTACACCCAGAAAAAATAATTTCTTCGAGTTGATTTTTTGTTTACAAAACTTGAGCAACCTGACTGGTCGGATTGGAAAGGGGCACTTCGTTGGATACAACGGCGATAAAAACGTATACTTTATCTGAAGTCACTTGAAACACTGTGAAATACCGGGTGCGTTTTATATATCTATATTTAACACGCTCTGTTGCTGCAAAAATCGCCAAATTTCGCAGCGTATAAGATCAAAGGCAGTTTCACCGGTCCACGTGGAGTAAAGCACGCCTATGCGTGGACATAGCCAATGAGAAAGCGTGTATTTCAGAGCTCCGAACAAGTGGAGGTGGCTACTGAAAATTGAAACAGTTTAGCCAGTGCCGTGTAGCGGTGAATAAACGTGTTTTCTTTAGTCTGTCCGTGTTTTTTCATAGATTTTATTAGTTTGTGTGTTTTTGACTTTTAAATACTTAGTTTACTTGTTGTTTTAATTGTTGTGTTGATTGTTCTTGTGTGTCCTAAATATGGCTCTTTGGAGACCTTGGGAAAATGCTCCAAGCCACGAGGAGATGGTTGATGAACCTCTGCAGACAGAATTCTTTCATAAAGATTTAGAGGAACAGACCCAAAGAGTAATCCTAAATATGTATGATTGTCTGAAAAACGAAAATCCAGATTCCTCGCAAAATCAAATTTTAAACAGAATTTGTATCCTGACAAAAATCAGTCGGTCTACCATTTATCGGATTATAAAAAGGGGAGATGTAGTCAACCATTCCTTCCACAGAAAGCGCATAGGGCAAAAATTAAAAAGAATAGACGTGGGTTTTCAGGAAGATATTCGTCGTATAATATACGGATTTTATAAAGAAAATTTGGTGCCCACGTTGGAAACGATACGGGATAAATTAATAGATTATCCTGAAGATTTTTATAATTACAAATGCTTAGACTCACTGCACTGTATTGTAAAACTGTGTGGTTTTCAATACAAAAAATTAGATAAAAGAATGGTGATTATGGAGTCGTCTCGAATCGTTGAATTGCGCCAAGAATTTTTGCACAAAGTTAAAATCTATAGAGAGCAGAAAAGAAATCTGATTTACCTGGATGAAACGTGGTATGATACCCATGATGTTGTGCAGTACGGCTGGGTTGACGACAGCAACAAGTGCATTTTAAATGCACCATGCAACCGTGGAAAACGAATCATTATTCTCCATGCTGGCAGTGAAAATGGATTTATACCTAATGCCTTGCTGTTATCTGCCAAAAATATCAAAGAATCATGTGCCGGCTATCATGAGGACATGACCTCCGACTCATTTGAAAAGTGGATAGAGCAGCAGTTAATACCAAACATTTCCCCAAATTCAGTGATTATTATGGATAATGCGCCATACCATTCCCGACAGAAATACAAAATTCCGAATACAGGCACAAAAAAACAAGACATTATTGATTTTATGAAGGATAAGGGAATGGAAATACCACAAAAATCAACCAAAGCCATATTATTGGATCTTATTAAAAGACAAAAATTTGAAAAAGAGTATGTTGTTGACAATCTGCTTCAGCAAAATGGCCATGAAGTATTACGTCTACCTCCCTATTACTGCATTTTTAACCCGATTGAGTTGGTCTGGGCTGCTTTAAAAAAAAAAGTAAGAAAACAATCAGACCCCTCAATTAAGTGAATCGCTATTGGCCACAATAAGAGATGCAGTATCTTATATTGCTGCCACAGACCTATGGAAGCAGTGTTCTAGGCATATTATTGAAAAAGAAAATGAATATTGTGTTTTGCCTCCTGTAAATCCCGTTGTAATTCCTCTACAAGATGACTCTAGCAACAGCTCCGAAGGCGAGGATGATATATAAATACCTATAATGTAAGTCTTTATATACCTACCTGCTATGTAAATATTTGCCTATCTCAAACGTTGGAATTCTGTAACTTTTTCATTTCTTAACTTTCAGTCAACATAAATTAAATTCCCAATATAAGTATTTTTTATCCCAAATCAAAAAAATAAGAAGATAGTAAAATCCATTTATTGTGATATAAAAACATTATTATTATCGTTCTAAATAAATGACCGCACGCCTATGATACGTCATGAAATTACAAAGGACGCGCCGACCAAAGGTTTTTATGCTATTTCAAGTGACTTCAGATAAAGTATACTCCAAACTTGAAAATCAAAATTTTTCCCACAATCAATGACTTAAAATGATGTAGGTTTCACACGGCAATTTTTCAATTTATCTCTACAGTCATCCGGTACCTCAGTGTATGCTCTTTGGTTCACGAGACTCATATCTCTATCACACTCGAGGTATGAATGCCCCCTGATCGGGAATATTACTTTCACAGTAGTAAAACGATTTTTCTTGGTAACCAAGTAATGCAAAAACCAAATAACTAAAGTTTTTATTTTGCCCTGCACAGGAGTCACAGAAAATGACAAGTTATTTTACTTCCATAGGCAGGATGTTATAAAAAAGTGATACAGAGAACAGACATCATCAGCTCCCTTCTTAGCAATAGATTCGTCGAACATATAAAAGATAGAATTTCAGTTTGACAAAATGTGGATTTTAAAACAGCGAAAACGTTCACAAAAACAAGCAGATCCAAGTTCGTGGGTAGTGGCGCGCAACGTTTTCATTACGTCTCTTTGTCTTCCTGTTTTTTTGCGCTTTTTCGTTTCTCTGTTTGATGGGCCTGGTTCATTTCCACTTGAAACTGAATAGTCACTATCCATTATACACAAAACCCGTATTATAAATTAAATTAGCGAATATAGTTAATATTCAAAATATCAGCGTATACAACACACGTGGACTAATATTAAACTAATGGCTGATGCAACAACGAAGCGCCTTTCCATATGGACTGTTGCCGTTTTTCGATACACGCGCATTCTTCCCCGGCACAGGGAATCTTATAGCTGTTGTGTTGTGAACCTTAGCCCCAATAACGAGGTTATATCGCAAAACTAGCACCAACCGTCTCATATTATGTATTTTATATCTGAATGCTGCGTTCAAGAGTTTAAGCTACGATCACTTCATGACGGAACATCCGGTACACATTTTCAATCTTACCTCTAGCCTGTGAACGACTTTGGCCCTTATATTCTTTTTCTTCTGCGTGACGAACCCGCTAACCAGTTCCCTGAACCAGTTGACGCAGTGAAACAGACAATCGGCCACCTCCTTCACCTGATCCAAGTCCAAGTCATCGAAATCATCCACGTCGGGTAAAACTACCGGCGAGCCTAGCAAAGCGTCGATTGACGATAAGTCGCCTTTCTGTTGTCTGTAGTTCAACAGACGTAACAGTCTAAAGTGGGCAGCTAACAATAAGACGGAAGAATCGTTTGACAGCGTCAGCCCTGCTATGTTTACTTGGACCGGTTCGAGCGTTTCATCGGAACTGGAATCAATTATTAGAGTCTGGTATATGGTAGACCACGAAAAGTGCATCATATAAACATTAGTGGATTAGTAGATCAAATGTCTAGTTTTTGGATCTTTTAGTGTACGGAATTTTGAAGCTGCAGGGTCCGTCATGTTTTTCGAATGGGTACTACATCGAGTGGGCTGGTCCCGTGTCGGTGGGGAAGGGCGTGTCGGATAGTGGGAGAAGTGCCGTTTAAGTTGGCAAGATGGTTTGGAACGTTGAGCATCGTGTGTTCACTGTACGTCGGTACTTTCAAAATGGCGAGACGCAACGTGAGTTTCGCGTGCACTTTCGTGTTCCACGTCGTGGGACAGTACCAGACCGTAACACCATTTTGAGATGGATGGAAGCATTCAACACGGCAGGTAATGTGAAAAAGAAACAACCGCCAGGGCACCCCCGAAAACGTTGAAGAAGGATTTAGATGATTGAACAGTTGGATAGTTACATGACGTTGTTTATGAGTGATGAAGCACATTTTCATTTACATGGATGCGTTAATAAACAAAATTGTCGATACTGGTCTGCAATGAACCCCGAACAGTTGCACGAGCACCCCCTGCATGCCCCGAAAGTTACAGTTTGGTGTGCAGTAGGCTCAACGATCATTATTGGCACTTCGACGTCGACGTGTCCGTCTCAGAACAGTGTAGGTCCAACAAGACAAAAAATAGAATGAATTTTTGAGTATTTTGATATAATAAAATATTTTTCCCATACTTGTTTTGGCTGTACTACTCATTTAAAAAACATGCGTTCTTTCTGACGGGCCCTGTATTTATCCAAATTTCTGATAATTGTTGCGCGTCTATGATCCGGATGGAAGCTTGTTTTCTAGGTAAACCGGGTGCGTAGATTCCGAATTCGATGTCAATTTAGTGGTAGGATTCACGAGTGGTCTCGGGTTGTTTCTTGCCAATGTTTCACCTCTAATTCTATCGTCAAAAATTGTTGGGCGTCTGTGATTTGGATCGAAGCTTGCCTTCTAGGTAAATCGGGTGCGTAGATTCCAAACTCGATATCAAGTTAGTGCCGGGATTCAAGGATATCCCCGGGTGATCCGTTTATTTTTTTGTTACACATGTGCCAAGCAAACTTTTTCCTCAAAGAGGCTTACATGTGCCGTAATCCTTCATGAACTGGTAGCGTTGTTTGGGAAGATCTTAATCGATCTACCTTTCGTCATTTTTACTTCCTGCGCCAGTGAGCGCGTGATATGACCCGCTTTTGACACAAATGTCGCGACCATCTTTTTCGAACCACTTCGAGAACGGATTACTTTTGTTGGCTTTTCTTCACCTTGGAACAGCCGATTGTCGTTTATTTTCTGGTTCATAACAGTAAATCCACGATTCATCACCACTAAAAATGCCGTACACATTTTTTGAGTTTCCGGAATTAACACGGTCAAGCGTTTTTTCACACCAATTAACCCTGGCTGCTTTCTGCTCTTCAGTCAACAGGTGGGATATCCAACGACAAACTAATTTTCTTACTCATAATTCCTCGTGTAAAATTTTTTGAATTGAGGTCTTTGAGATCTTCAAGGACGCCTCAATCTCGCGATATGTCACATGTCTATCTTCAATGATAAGTTTGTGCACAGCATCGACGTTTTCCTGGGTGACTGCCGTTGTTGGTGCACCCACCCTGGGATCGTCGCTAAGACTCACCCGTCAACGTTTGAATTCTCCATCCCAACGGGAAATTGTCGACTGATGTGGCGCTTCGTTGCCGAAAACAGACAGTAACTCAGCTAGGCATTCTTGTTGCGATAATTGTCTCTGAAAGTTGTAGTAAATTATGGCGCGAAAATGTTCTCGGTTGAGTTCCATTTTTCTAATGACTTGGTCACTGTTGTGAAACTTTGAATTTAAGTTTACTAAAGAGTGAGGTTAAGATTCAGTACTGACGTTAGATCCGCGCGGCCTACTATGTTTCTATATGCAAAACTTAAAATACACCCCTCGTAATCGGATATTATTGGGGTGTTAGGAACAGATATCACTTCAGCGTTCTGCGAAACGGTGGGATTGAACGAGGAACTCTAAAATCGTCGATATTTTATATAGTTTGAGAGGTAAATGTTTACATCGTACCTAAGTGAACACACCTAATCAAGTTTCACGTTAAAATTTGCGAATATAAATGAAGGCGTGAGAAGTATAGACCTAAACCTCATAACGTCATTTTTATGTTACTTCAGTAAGAAGTATATCAGTTTCTGATACAGTTACAACTTTCATTCACTTACCTATTCAATGAATATTGTGAACTAGACGTGATGTCATTAACAACATTGGGCGTCAAGGTGCTCAAATATTTCGCCTGAAAATCGACTGTGATGGTATCATGCAACCAGGCCAAAAAATACGGATCAAAAAACGTATTCGGCATCAACATTGCAGCCAGTTGGTCATAATAAAGGCCTATCAATTCGGGACAGCCTGCTATCGATGTGCTGGTCAACTCCAAAATGGATGCCGCGTCTCTAGCTACACCTCTAGGCAGTTGGTTGATGGTGAGAATACCTTTGGGTACCTCTACATCCGGTTCTTCGGAGATTAGCGCGATGTGTCGGGCCATTACCACAGCCGAGATTATACCTCTAGAACATACAAAAGCTGTTTAATCGATTTTCTTCTGATTGGGGTCCGTATTAATCCCGACCCGATCGGATGGAAAGCACCTTCGTATAACAGACAATTTTTTAAACTTATTTTATTTCATAATACTTTTCATGCAGATCATTGAAGGTCAAGCTTAACAAGGATGCCGTACTATTCAAGTCCCTCGCGACCACAACTCAATGCTGGGCTTTTTTTAATGACCATACGATTTAAATATGGAAAAGGCAAAGATATATATAATTACCTAAGTTTAATGCTCTTTTTAGTACTATGCAACTGTTTCCTAACGATCATATGTATCTCATCCGTCAATCCAGACAGCGAGTCATCGACATCTTCGCCGCATGTCAAACTGCACAATAACTCGAACACCTCTTTCAAATCTCTCAAACTGAAACTGTCCAGCTTTTCTAAAAGTCTCATTAGCAACACAGCATGTTGCTGCAAGATCAGTTTCTCTCGCAAAAATGACGATAGCAATTTCAGTATGTTGATTATCTTCTTCTGGTCCACAGAACACGCTAGGATTACGAGGGCTTCCAAAACTTCTCGTCGATATATCGGTTCGGTATATTTGTGACTGAACAGAGATTGGAACAGCGTGCAAGCAAAGTCAATGACAATTTGGTCATTGGAATTCCTCAACAAGTAGCAACCTGTAGAATCAATTAAACATAATATACTAAGTGACATATAAATCCGAACACCCAGTTTAAATGGTTTTATTTTAATAAAAGTTGGTGAATGTATTTATCTTACTGTAAATAACAAGTGAAAAATTTTTCAGCCTTATCAGTTGGACATTCCGGTTTTTATACTGCTTTTTTTTTGATTCACTAACGCTCTAAAAATGAATATTTCAGCCGCAGTAAAGAATCAACGAGTTTGATAGGGGCCGTATAGTGGGACTTCGGGAAGCTGGACTTTCTTTTCGGGCAATTGCAGTTAGAGTGCAAAGAAGTGTAGACACTGTGGTTAGGTGTTGTCAGGCATGGCTTCGAGAAGGCCGTACGCAAATAGCAAGGGGCACTGGACGCCGCCGTAGAACAACGTGAAGATCGCCCCCTAAGATTATTGCCCTTAAGGGACCGTTTCTCCACTACCAGGTCCATTGCAAATGAATGGTTTGCAGAACACGGAAGACCTATTGGCATGCGAAGTGTTTACCGACGTATGAGAAGTTTTGGCTTGTTTTCATACCGGCCACACTGGGTCCTCCCTTTAACTCGAGAACACCGACGTAATCGCCTTGAGTGGTGCAGACAACGGTCACTCTGGGATCAGGAATGGAACAGTATTGTCTTTAGTGACGAGTCTCGATTTTGTTTAGGCATGCACGATGGTCGTGCCAGGGTTAGAAGGCGACGTGGTGAAAGGAGGAATCCACAGTTTTTTGTTGAAAGACATGTTCATCACACTGTTGGAGTTATGGTTTGGGGTGCTATAGCTTATGGTTCCAGGTCACCTTTAATCTTCATCAGAGGTAACATGAACGCGCAGCGTTATATCCACGAAGTTCTAGAACCCCGTCTTTTACCCTATCTTGACACCCTGGCAGATCCAACTTTCCAACAAGATAATGCCCGACCACATGTTGCAAGAGTCACAATAGACTTCTTTCAACATAATGATGTTACATTGTTACCATGGCCACCAAGATCTCCCGACTTATCCCCAATTGCGCACGTGTGGGATATGATGGGTAGGAGATTGCTCAATTTGCAACGTCCTCCTCAGACTCTAGAAGCACTTCGAGAGGGGTTGGTGGTTGCCTGGAATGAAATACCACAGGAGGACATTGACCACCTGATCAGAAGCATGCCTAGGCGCGTTGGAGAATGCGTAGCACATCAGGGTGCATCCACACATTATTAAAGGTCAAAGGGCTTTAAAGCAGTGCAATCATTTTGAAATTTTTATCATTTACTTATTATGCTTCATTAAGTACTTATACAAAATTTTATTAAAATAAAACCATTTAAACTGGGTGTTCGGATTTATATGTCACTTAGTATAACTTTAATATGCCTTCATAGTGAACTTTTTGGTCTCGGTCTTTTACATACCTATTCTCACTATAGACTCAAAATACTCCTTCAAAAGCTGCTGAGGCATGTATTCTTCAAACATTTTTTCTAACTGTTTAATTTTGAACAAGCCTGACTGTATTCTTTTCCTAAAAGTCAGCTCGATGATTCTTTTTTTCAAATGCGCTTTTGAGTGCAACATAAAAAGCAACAAGTAATCTATCGGTCGGTGGTCACTATGAGACCTAATGCCACATATCTGCAAAACAAATATGTCATAACATCAAGCCAAAAAAGGTCAGCCTTTTGTCATACTGACCATGTTCATCCAGGATTCTGACACAATTTTTGGTGAAATAGCATACATATGCAGCTTGTTAAATATTAATATCCTACAGGACTCTCGTTCTTTGTTGTCCTTGGTTGTCGATGACATCATCATGTCAAGAGCATTTCGAATCTTCATAAGAGTTGGTACAATGTTATTGGATTTGCAGTCTGACATTAAGAACTGAAAAGAAACTTTTGAAAAATCCCATATTTTTTGTAAAGATCTTGATGAAGAAATATTACTATTGATTACACAGCCCAACAGCCATTTTGATGCCTAAGAAGTTAAGAACTGAGTATTTTTGAGGCGCTGATTTCAAAAATCGCTTGTTTTTTTTTGTAGGAGCTCTAGTTTTCGAGATATAAGCGATTTAATATTTGAAACAATGCAAAATACAATATGAAATTTTTGATGTTGCCAAAGTTGCTAAATATCAAAATCCCAAAGCTTTTTAGGGGGTATTGTTATTGTAAATAACACTGAGTTAATACTGGGTGCGCCATCTATGCCTGTGCATTCTTAAAAAACAAGTGTAAATTCCCTTTGAAAGCTTTTAAAGATTTCGGACTTCAAATCATTTAAATTTTTGTAGACCTTTACACAATTTTTTGCAAGTTTTGAGATAATCATTAGTTTTCTTTCATTAAATTTAAGTATATTAGTGCATTAAGACACTTTGGTAACAATTTGTTCTTCATCCATAAAAAAATTATTACAAGGTACTTGATCAAATTTTTTACATCAAGCCAATTTAACTGACTTAAATTATCTTTTATTGTTGTTTCTGATGCTACATTTATAATTTCAATATTTCCATTCCATCATTAATATAAACAAAATTTTGAATAGTCCATTTATCAAACACATTTGTTAAATTATTTATGAAGGACTGAATAGTTGATCGCTTTTAAAATAAATACAATCTTACAGGAAGAGTTTTGGTCGGATACTTTCAAGAGGAAAAACAACATTCATTTGTATAAAACATGAATACTAAAGTTTCTGAAACACTTTCCGATTTATTTGAAAAACGTATTTCGACCTTTGTAATTTAATTGCAGCTGAAAACTATATGTCAAACTCAAAACTAAACATAGTCTTAGGCATATACTTGGAGAATATGTAAATCAATCATATTATCAAACATAAACAGAATCAACTTACAGATAGAAGTACAGGAAATACTTTCAAATTGGTGCCCCCTGCAATCTTTGCCAAAATTGTATCTCGTACTTGTGCCTTGATTTCTCCATCGAGTTCCAATGCGTTCAAGCAATCTATTGCAGCCCCTGTCAGCTCGTCGTTGTCATCCATAAGTTTGCAAAGTTGCTTGGCAGTTTCCGCGTATTGCGAGTCAGGCATAATATCAGGTAGAGCGTCGAGAATCTCCAGTTGCGAAGGGAAGGTTGCTATCTCTAGCATGTCTAATAGTCGTGTGGACAATTCTTGGGGGTTTACGATGTAAGGCAGATATCTGAGAGGGTTCAGAAGCAAGTGGAGATATTGGGTGGTTTCTAATGCCTCAGGAGCTACTGCCATAATTTCATTGAGAAGGATCTCTATCATATACTTTTGGACTTGGTTCGTTTTGAGGAAAATTCTAATCAAGCTTTCTTGTTCAATATCTAGATGCCTGTTATCGGAATTGTCATCGTTTTTACGTAACACAGAACTCACTAGCGACTTTTTAAAGTATTTTTCTTTCTTACAAAATGCCTCCAGGCCTCTAACGAACTCACTCAGAGTTGCAGTATTTTTAGACAGGTTTTTCTCTAAGTCTCTGACTGCCAGAGACTGCTCTTGCTTCAGAATGTGTGGTTCATCCCCTAAAGATAATATCACACCTGACTGTTTCAAAATCTTCTTGAAGACTGCATTTTGGGATTTAGGTAACTGTGATGTTAAAACAGGACTGTCACTATCAGACATGTTGATACAACAAATTGCAGTATAAATACATAAATAACATACAATCTATAACTGCTTTAATATTCGTTGAAGCTTTAAAACTTCTTTTTACATCTTCGTTATTTTTGAAAGCAAAATATGTGAGGTTAGGATTTTCGCGGTTAAAAGTTTTGACATTTGACAGATATGAAACGCTATAGAATTGTATTTGCGTTGACTTGAGGGGAGGAGCTAAAGCTCTGTCGTTTTTACAGGGGTGCTAAGAGAGTATTCCCTGTTTATAAATTATTTGTAATTTTCAAATTAATTGAAGACTGACCCATTTCCTTTCTGATATCTTCTCATAAATGATTTTCAGGAAGACGCAGCAAATCTTCTCCTTTTCGAATCTTCACATCAAGATGCCGGCAAAAAAGTGAATTTGAGCGATTACATGGCGAGGAATAATGAGGATCGTACAATTTTCTATTTGGCTGCCCCAAGGTACGAACAAACATTTCGCTATGATAGTGTAAAATTTCTTCTGATTTCAAAATTCTTATTTTTGTAGCCGTACTCTTGCGGAATCGTCTCCTTACTACGAATCATTGAAAAGCAAAAAGCACGAAGTACTGTTCTGCTACGAACCGTACGACGAGTTAGTTTTGATGCAGTTACAACAGTTCAAAGGTTACAAGTTAGTGTCAGTCGAGAAAGATATGAGGGACGACAAGGCTGCAAACGATCTTTCGAATTTAGGTGAGAGCGTTAATTGATTTGCTGTACCTAAGATAGCCGATCTAATACTGTATTTTATTATTATAAATTTGTTACAGATATGTTTCTCCGCAATAATTAGAAATCTACATTAAAGAAGTCTGATAAATTTTCCCGTAAAAACCTGCATAGTGTCATTAAAAATCGATATAACATCACCCACGTCCGCCGGTCCTCATATACAAGCGCTTTTGGTTGATATTTTCACTTGATATCAATGACTTCCCTTAAATGGGCGTGAACCTTTATTGATCGAGAATTGTACAAGAACAAGCAAATTTGGCCTCTTGCTAGCAAATTTTTTTGTCTCAGACTATCCGACAAAAAAAGAAAAATCGGTTCAAATGTTTGTGTTTTAGGGGAAGACAGTTTGAAGCGCAGCGAGATAAATGACCTGTCGAACTGGTTGAAAGACAAGCTAAGCGGAAAAGTGGCGACGGTGAATGCTACGACTCGGTTGGAGAACCATCCTTGTGTCATCACCGTCGAGGAAATGGCGGCCGCACGGCATTTCATAAGGACGCAGAGTCACGGATTGCCCGAAGATAGGAGATACGCCATCTTGCAGCCACAGTTTGAGATTAATCCTAGGTATGTCGGAAAAAATTACTTAAAAAACAAGATCATAGGGAGTGAAAGTGGCAACGCTGTACTCGGTGACCGTCAGCGCAGTGTTGCCATTTTTCACTCTCTATGACACTGATATGTATTAGTTTATAAATAGTTATGGTTTCTGCGCTGCAGTGTATTTATTTATCTCTTTCAGGCACCCCATAATCAAGAAATTGTACAAGTTGATGTCGTCTGATCAGGAACTTGCAGAACTGCTAGCTAAGCAGGTAAAATTTACAAGTAAAATTTGCAATAGAATTAAATTTTCGTAACTTTTTTAAAAATTTCTATCCTATCATTAACAGGCCTAATATAGTCGTAGACAGTATTTTTTCGGGATATTAAAAAATTTCGTAATCACAACTACGTAAATATTTATTTGATATTGATAAAAGGCGAATGGTAATTTTTATGTATGCATTGTAGTGTATCATTACGATAAAAGTTAGGTTAGTCAATTTTGCCATATTTCTGATGAAAACGGTTTCGTTTTTTGACACAACTTTTTTTACAGCTTTTCGCGAACGCAATGGTAGGAGCTGGGCTCGTGGAAGATCCGCGGGTGTTGCTGACTTCAATGAATGATCTCTTAACGAAAGCACTGGAAAAGCACTAACGTTATAGTATCTAAGTATATCTAGGCTACTTGAAACAATCGAATTATTAAGAGTGTAAATATGGCGTGTGCTGCAGTTTAGGCATATTTATTTGTATAATTATGTTCATTCCCGATTCATTGAGTTTTTTTAAATAAAGTATTGTTTATATGAGTTAAAATTATTTCATTTCCCCCCTCCCAATATATCTTAAATATTAAAAATTGCATTTTTATTTAGATGCGCCGAAGCTGTAACTTTTGTAAGAGAATAAAAAAATAGTTATATCCGTATATTTGATAGCATTTTTACAAGTATTTTATTCAAATAACACAACCGTCTCGGAATTTCCATTTTTGCAATAATCGATTATTTACAAAACTATAAAACTTAATCTTACTTGCTTATTATATAACGATGACGTTTATGACTTTGAAGTGTAAACTAGGTAAACGTTTCGGCGCCGTAGCACATAATTTGTATATGTTAAACTCGTAAATCACCTTATCTTGTTACTTTATCTCATACTTATATAGGATCATTCAAGCTTTTTATATATAAAATGTGCGCCGGTATTGAGGAATGTTTTATTTTCGAAAAATACTGATTTGGCAAATAAAACATTTTAACAGTAAAATATGCCAACTTTAGAAGGCAGTCTTTCACTGTATACGCGCTACAGGGAGACGAGAGACATACTTTGACAAATTTTGCCAAAACCGGATATTCAATTGAAGCCTTTGGTGCAAAAAGGTGTTAACTTTATAGTTTGGAGATAATTGACATCAAAGTTTAAATTCTGACATTTTTTATTGAATAGTTTTAGGGCTGCTATTACATATAAAAGTACCTCGAATAGACAGTTTTGAAAAAAAAATTGTTTTCATTATCAGAAATTTGAGGTTGTGCGCTTTGCAATTTCAAAAAACTCATTTTTACATTTCAAACGAAAACTGAATTCATTTTGTTATATAATCTTACAAGGTAATGAACTACTAAAACTTAACGCACCTTATACATTTAAAAAAGCAGTCCAAATGTAAAAATCAGAAAAAACATAACTTCTCAGGAGACGTGTTCAAACGTAAACAAATTGAAATTTGAGTGCAAAAAGGTGATAACAAAAGGCGCTAACACCTTTTTTTCCTATAATGCAAACGTTAACACCTTTTAAAGTTCACAGATTGAAGTTTTTAATATATAGGTATAACACTTTTATGAATCTCTGTATCTAAAAACTGAGAGCCATCTTTGGCCGGATAGATGTACTACCAAAAAAACATCCTTTAACACTTTGCACTACAAATCTTAAAATGCGAAAAAGAAGAGTTAACACCTTTTTGCACCAAAGTCTTCAATTGACCATGGACCACTTTGCTTAATTCCATCGTTTTCAGATAAATGTTCGCTAACGATAGTATCTTTTGGAAATAATGTTCCTGGTGAAAGGTGTTTCTAGCTCGTTGAAGTATTTCAAAAAAATTTATGAGTTTCATCTAGGTGCGAGTGTGTCTTTTTCATTGCTGGACTGATCTTCATTTTAAGGAAAATGCACCTACCAGCCTAATAGTTGCCGCACAATTTAAAAAGTTCGCATATTTTTTGAACAGACCTCGTATGTTTAGGGATACAACAGTACGGCACTGGTGTATGCAAAAAAAATGCAAAACTTCAAGAGAGGCGTGGCTTTGAGAAAACGATACTTTTGGGTGAAAAGCCTGTAACATATGCCCTGTAGCATGTAAATGGGAAAATTCCGGTCCCACGATACCTTTTCGATATTTTTTCCTTCAAACCTCCTTGGCCACACCTTGTATTATGTTGTCTGAATTCTTCCTCCATAGGAAAATAAGCACAAGATGCCATCCGATATTGTATATTACTACAGCACAGAAAAAAAGTTGGCCATGGAAACGAAGTCATGTCTTAATCGGACTAACCAATATCCAAAGATTTTTGCAATACCTACCTAGATGAAAAAAGTACCTATTCGATTTCGGAATTTTGAATACATTTTTGTTACATTATACATCAGTATACGCTATTCATAATTATCTCTGCGGCTCTTCGATATTTGAGTCACCCTGTTGCTAAAAATGTCACGTACCAAATCAAATCTCCCGCTCTGGATGTACGAGTAGGAAACCGGATAGTCGCGTCAAGTCATGTGATTCATTAGTAAACTTTTATCAGCGATCAAACAAAAATGTTTAAGCCGCTAATGGATCATGTGATTTGCCATTGAAATCCCAATTGGAATTTATTTGATCAAAAAATCTAGCATATAGGAAAAAAATTGATAATCCCATCGCGTCATGCGCCAAGGCAACCAATGTACGTCATTAAATGCGGCGTTGCCAGATTCCCACAGTTCACGGTAACATCAGATATCGGATATGCTTTCATCGCTTAGCGCTCTAATAAGAAAGAACAAAAGAAACGTGCATATGTTTTAATATTCATTTATAGAAAATAATATTGTTCAAAAGGCGCTTCTGAACAGGCAATATTTTTCTAACTCAGATTGCTAAATTATTGGAAACTTGCTTAATGTAATATATTGTAAGTAATGTAATTTGCCACGATGCGACAGTCATTGAGCAATTCTGACTAGGTAAATGTCTGTATATTGCAGACAATAGTGCCAAAATACTGCTCTTTCAAAAGCTGCCTTAGAAATATAGTTTATGACTATAGGGTATAGTCTATTTCTCCATGAAATCGGTTGTATTTAAAACCAGCAAGTATTATTGTTGTATTTGTCTGCAGCGTTGAATCGGGTGTAAATCTAGTGAAACTTGCTTGTAGCGTTTTTTCTATGCAAAAGAACGTTTCTAAATAAAAGAAACGTTAGAAAGTACAAAATGAATCAGTTGCGTACAAAAAACCAAAACAATATACGGCTCTGTCTACCTGACGTTGACGGATCCGTCAGAATTATGTGTTCTTTGTCGATATGGGGCGTTTTGGTATGTTACTAGTAAATCAGCTGTCATTCTACCGTAATGGATATTCGTGAAAAATACAAGGTATTTATATTTGAGACACGAGAACGGGTAAGTGACTATTTGGAAATAAACGGATTGATTCCTAATATACTCAAAAATTGCCGTTTCTGATGGTGTCCAGAAAAAACCGTAATCACGGATTTCTTTGGTGCACAATCTGGCTACGCCGAAAAAGTTAGCTGTCATCTTCGATTGCGATTGGTCGCCAGCCGTCCTTCCGTTTGAATTCAACCAATGGATCGCTGTACAATTCCGCACTCTACCTGAAACTGTCATATGACCCATTCGTGCTGGTGGCGGCCGCGTAAGCCATATTTGTCAGTGGGTTCGCTAGTTCCGTAGTGTGTTGTGCACCTTTTACACCTCACCGACCTGTAAATACTCTCCGGAAAGATGACGAACGAAAACCCAATCTACGGACCCTTCTTCGGAGTCATGGGGGCAGCCTCCGCCATCATTTTCAGTTGTAAGTGATTTTTCCTGCTTCGCTCTTCTAGCCGATATACGAACTATCGATTTTTGTGTCATCCCATTCATCTTAATATTGTTAAATTATAGTATAAAGAGGCTTCCGCGGGGTACAAAATGCGTATAGAATGCGGGTATTTAAAGCTGGGAGCTAAAATAGCTCCAAATCAAAGCGGTCTTTGAGTTGAAGGCAAAATTAAAATCATGGGCGTAGTAGACACGGTCATATGCCAAGTTTTCGTCGGGATTTTTATGTTTTGCCGTCACAAAAATCAATGAAAATGCTTGCCGTCAACCGAAATTCGACAATTTGTACGCGAAAACGCATTTTTCTGTGTGAATTCCATAGATTTATGACCCAGTTAAGCTGGTCACATGCTTGATAAGACCCACCCGTCTTCAAGCTTAATTCATCTTTTATTCAACTGCTAACATTAAGTTACTAATTACATCAATACACGGATTCAGTAAACAATATTCGTAAATTATTCATGGAAAATGCACTAGTGCGATTTTCCTTCATTTATGTATAAAAAATGGGATAAATCAAAACTGTAAGTCATTACATTAAACCTAAAGATCAACCAATGAAGCTCGGCCAGAAACATCATCATTTTGCGTCGAGATCTGCGAATTTTCTGCAGAAAACAGGTGGGTGTTTCCACATAGTACCTGAAACAGAAACCATGTGACTGCCAAGGCTAACAATGATAATCACATGAATCTTCCACAAATCAAACATCCATGGTTCCGTATATCAATTATATAATGTACTATTATCCGTTTTCGCATTTTAAACGCCTTTACAGTTTGAGTTTGTTCAATTTTGTGCTCTTTTTAAACCTCTGTCTCATCGAGTGTGTATGAGTCATAGTCAGCTGACTTTCTAGAAGTACTACCTGCATTAACACTTGAATACAAGAGGATCTGAAGATCAGTAGGTCATTCTGTAAAACACAGAACATTTAAAGGACAATGCTTAGAGCTCTTGTAAGGTTTGTCCAGTATTTCAGGCGAAAAATAAACGTTTCTATGTTGAAAATACACCATTTATAGCTAAAATTGTTTTACTAGTATCTATTTTAGCTTATCATCAATGAATATTAATCATTTGACGCAATTTCTTTAGACTTTATCACTGTGTCATTAATTAGAAGCTAACCTGTTTTTTCTGAAGCAGGTGTTATCTAAAGTATTCTTTTGTTGAATCAATAAAATTCTTAACTCTCTCCAAAAATAATATTTAATTTGTGCAAGTTTCTGTATATATCTTCAAACTGCTTTCAATCCACAAGGAAATAAGAATTTTCAAACCTCATGAGTTATTTGATTTTTTAAATAAGAATGAACAAACAAATTAGGCAGTTGTTTCGGGTTAGTGACATTGTCCAAGAAGTCAAATTATTGTAACTAGGCTAGTCAGATTCAAGGACTTAATGATCAGTAAAGTTGATCTGGGAGGAAGCTCCAGCTCGTAAAAGACCTCTAGGTCGCCTTGTATGAGATGGGGGGATACCATCAGGTCAGACCTAGCAAAAATGAACTTGAAAGCCAAAGGGTTGTAGTGCTGTTTGTGAGTAACCTCAGTATCAGACAGCAGAGCATGAGGAAACCTCAGTCCATCTTTTGGGCCACTGAGAAGACGTGGTAAGGTTCAGGTTTCAGATATTAGGAATCAATCTGTGTCAAGGCTATGGAGTTTGATTGGAGAATCAGAGTTGGACACAGGTTAGACAGTGTATAGGAGAGGAACATTTGAACACCAAAGTTCAAAAGTAGTGGTACAAGCCACTTCCTGATGCACATGCCTATTAAAATAGAATGAGATGCAGAAACTTAGTGGTGTATGACTACAAGTATTGAGACTACTTCATTATAGTTGACCCAGAATCTTTTGTTAACCAGAATGCTCTACAAAGCTCTTAAAAATGACAGTCAAAGCGTGAACCTAGCATCGCGCATGTAGCTATCAATAGGTCATAGTCTCCAGACAAATATATACCCAAACAAATTAGTCATTTTCTACAGCACTGTTAATGTAGTTATTCGCAATGTTGCATTTGGTCAATGAAAATAAACAATGGTCGGCAATTTGGCACTTGTCCAGTACATTCTGTAATGTCACAGTCGCTAGTAAATTGTACATAAAGTAACATGTTGAATAAATTCTGGCTTTAAATGCGTCTTCATAACTCTCCAGGAATGCACATTGTATTTTAAAAAAATCTAGCATATTTTGGAATGTGCGTAGATCAGGAATCTGATGTCTATTTTTTACTGAGATCATCGAAGGACCCCAAAACTCTAAATCTTCGCGACTCTTTCTATAGCAATATTGGAAATCAGGGTCCAAAATTATCTCATTGTTTTGTTCACTTGTAGCCACATGTTGTGAAAGTAGAAATTTTGCTTGGAGGAACATCAACGTTTAAAAGCATACCATTGAATAATTTCGTAAATTCTAGCATATTTTCCAGTTTCGATCAAAATCTGTTTTTTGAGTAAATCTGGTGGCCAGATCACGAATCTTAAGTTAGTTTTTTGCCGATATTGGTGCGAGGTCCACAGGTCATATTTTCCTACTTCAAATAGTGTTTTTGACGGTGACATTCGAAATCGGCGTCCCAGATTGTCCCGTCGTACCAAATTCCGTTTGTTTGCAGCTACAGGGTATGAAAATGAAATTTTTGCGTTGAGGAACTTAAAAATTGTAGTGTATTCTGCATTCTCTATCAAAACCTGCTCATTGAGTAAAATCTTATAACCATATTAATAATGTGCATCCCAAATTACCCCAATGCACCAAGTTCTGTATTATGGCATCATGAAACTGGAATACTCGAAAAATAATGTTTTTTCTGTCAAAAATAATTGTGTGTCTCCAATCGTAATAATTCAGCTCTGAAATTGTACATTAAGATTCCACTGTTATAGTAAGCTTTATCACTTTTCCTATTAAAAAAATCTCAAATAAATTTCATTATGATCTACCTTGTATACACGCATTCATAGTGTAACAATTAACTTTTGGATATTTGAGATAGCAGTAAAATGATAAACGTTAAATAATAAAAGAATATGTTTCGCTGTGCCAGACCACTTTTTTCACCTGTTTACAGTTTGTTACAGTACAGACATATTATCGTCTAGAAACTTTTACATCATTTAAAAAGATAAAAACCGGCGGTTGTAACATGTGATATAATTGGAAAATTCTGATAGAATTGTACTAACAGTGTTGCTATTTTTTTTTATTTTGACATCTGAGTGTGCTTTAAAGTTTATGTCCCTAAAGTTGGCAATGTCAGCAGAACAAAAGTTAGATTATTACAAAATTAAGCGCCTAAAAGAAAAAAGAATGTTCTGCTGTGAAAAAAGTTGCAGGCGTCTCGAAATTTTCAACTATTATTTTCAGGTTAAAATATAGCAAGGAGAGGATGCAAATAGTGAATTGTATGCTATTTTATTAGACATAACTAAATTCTCGTGATATGATTCGGTTTAAGTACCGTTTTAAATGACCTCTTATCGCATTGTCGCCATTCACAAAGATAAATAAATTATTTAGAGATTATAGTGCATTAAAAGTTTGTTTGTGTTCTGGAACGTTTCACGATTGTTCCTTAAACAAACATTTCTACTCTGCATAAGGTGCATAATTTTTTCATCCGAGTGTAAAAATAGCATTGAAGGTGGAAATTTTTCTTCAGTTTTTATTGGGTCACTTACTCATTGACGTGCTTAAGAATTTTTTTTCTGATTCAGCATGATATAGGGCAGACTATTTCAATAATAACTGTTTCTTATAAACAAAAAATTTAATTAAACGACTGTCTTTGGCTAGAGTGCAAAGCTACGTGCTCGCAAAAAAGCTTAATTTCATGAAAATAAATAATCTTTATTTCAAAAAATAACAGTGCACAATTACAACGTAATATCCGCTGTCAGGTGAAATATACGTCGTATGGAACTATTCCTAAAAACATTGTATATTTGTAATTTGGATGAAAAGTCACTTCATGAACAATTTTTTGCTTGAAAGGATGCTTTACAAAAAAAATTTTTGCCCTGTATCTTCGAAACTAAGTGGGCTAAAAAAACTGTGACAGAACAACGTCCTATATCGTTTTCTTTTGATAAAACTGGTGCAGTTTCAGCATTTGAAATCTTCTAAGTTTGCCCCAAAAGGACATGAAACTCATTTCGTCTCTAGGGTTGTTGTCTGTCAATGAAAAATTTTCTTTTAAAGTCATGGACATCAATTGTTTCTCAATGCCCCACAAAATATATTACAACAGTTGTTGAATTTTTTCTCCTTGTAATAAGTCCTCAATTGTTTGTTTTATATACTAAGTGACATATAAATCCGAACACCCAGTTTAAATGGTTTTATTTTAATAAAAGTTGGTGAATGTATTTATCTTACTGTAAATAACAAGTGAAAAAAATTTCAGCCTTATCAGTTGGACATTCCGGTTTTTATACTGCTTTTTTTAATTCACTAACGCTCTAAAAATGAATATTTCAGCCGCAGTAAAGAATCAACGTTGGCGGATTTTGGTTCTTGACATCCTTTACGATCGGTTACGATGCCTAGAGTACGGAGACCTGTACGATTTCGTCAACTTGTGAGTTTGATAGGGGCCATATAGTGGGACTTCGGGAAGCTGGACTTTCTTTTCGGGCAATTGCAGTTAGAGTGCAAAGAAGTGTAGACACTGTGGTTAGGTGTTGTCAGGCATGACTTCGAGAAGGCCGTACGCAAAGAGCAAGGGGCACTGGACGCCGCCGTAGAACAACAGACCGTGAAGATCGCCGCCTAAGATTATTGGCCTTAAGGGACCGTTTCTCCACTACCAGGTCCATTGCAAATGAATGGTTTGCAGAACACGGAAGAACTATTGGCATGCGAAGTGTTTACCGACGAATGAGAAGTTTTGGCTTGTTTTCATACCGGCCACACTGGGTCCTCCCTTTAACTCGAGAACACCGACGTAATCGCCTTGAGTGGTGCAGACAACGGTCACTCTGGGGTCAGGAATGGAACAGTATTGTCTTTAGTGACGAGTCTCGATTTTGTTTAGGCATGCACGATGGTCGTGCCAGGGTTAGAAGGCGACGTGGTGAAAGGAGGAATCCACAGTTTTTTGTTGAAAGACATGTTCATCACACTGTTGGAGTTATGGTTTGGGGTGTTATAGCTTATGGTTCCAGGTCACCTTTAATCTTCATCAGAGGTAACATGAACGCGCAGCGTTATATCCACGAAGTTCTAGAACTCCATCTTTTACCCTATCTTGACACCCTGGCAGATCCAACTTTCCAACATGATAATGCCCGACCACATGTTGCAAGAGTCACAATAGACTTCTTTCAACATAATGATGTCACATTGTTACCATGGCCACCAAGATCTCCCGACTTATCCCCAATTGAGCACGTGTGGGATATGATGGGTAGGAGATTGCTCAATTTGCAACGTCCTCCTCCTCAGACTCTAGAAGCACTTCGAGAGGAGTTGGTGGTTGCCTGGAATGAGATACCACAGGAGGACATTGACCACCTGATCAGAAGCATGCCTAGGCGCGTTGGAGAATGCGTAGCACATCAGGGTGCATCCACACATTATTAAAGGTCAAAGGGCTTTAAAGCAGTGCAATCATTTTGAAATTTTTATCATTTACTTATTATGCTTCATTAAGTACTTATACAAAATTTTATTAAAATAAAACCATTTGAACTGGGTGTGATTTATATGTCACTTAGTATATTTGCAAAATACCCCGTATAGAACACTATGAATGATATTTTTGCGTCTACGTAAAATATTCGGCGTGATACGCTCATGATGAATAATTGAGTGCAAAAAATTTTCGCCTGGCCAGTGTTGTAGCTTGCGTATACCATTCTTGTTTCGATACCAATGACCTACTTTCGGTGCATACCCGTTTCGAATCTTTAATATTTTGCCTCCGTTGCCCTGTTTGGATGGACTGCTTCGATTGATTACCTGTTCTTTTTAGACGCGCCAACGTTATACATTTTGAAAGAGATCGATCACGTGTTCTTAAGAAGAAAATACGAGGTCTGCAAATTAAGTGATGGGACGAATTTTTTTTTTATTCAAAATGAGGGATAAGAATAACTTGTACTGAAGGCGGATCACATGTTCCTTGCCCCCCCTCCAGTGTTGCCACGTTGCCAGTTTCATCATTTAATTTGCAGACCTCGTACATGTGATATAATAACAAAAAACATAACATCTTATTTTCGAAATGTTTCTCGTTGACATGCTGGAAAAAATTGGTACATCGTTTGCATTTGACACGACAGCTATCCAAAAATGTATCGTGTATAAGTGGATATTGATTTTGACCAGCAACGTTGCCAATCTCTTTTGCAACAAGTTCATTGGGAAAATCTGCTGGCACCAAACCTTTTAGTTAGTTCCTATAGAAATTATAAATCATTGAACAACTGAATGAACACGTCCGATCGATAAGTTTGCGAAATGTTTCCATCTATCAAACGTCTAATAAAAACTTTGTCGTCTCACAATGGAACGTAAAGCGGTCTATTTCCAGCAACAAACGCACAAATCCTCTGATAGCTGTGCTCTCGTTGCGTGCATCTGTCTGCGGCTATTAAAATAATTCTCCAGCAAGGTCATCGGCGTCATCATGACCACTATCGGACCAAATACTTTAGCGAAGATTCATATCGTGATCTTCTACACTGAGAACCAAATTTGTTTGACGTGTGTTCATCCAAATTTGTCAAATTCACTCAAGGCCATCCAGAGCCGCAACCGCTCAAAAATAATTTGCTTTTTGCATGCATGATCAGCTGTCATTTTTTGACATAAAAGTGACAACGTAGGAATTGAATTCTGTCATTTGCATGTCACTTCAGATCAACCATAATCGGAACCGTTGCAAAAAGAATTTGATTCAAAGGTAGGTCGGAAATAAAACCAGTGTTGCCAGACATAGTCGATCTGTTTTGGCAGGCATTGAAGCAAAAACTTGCCGGTGGTCGAAAATTGCTTGACCAGTACTCAGTTTTGAACATTTAAAAAGTTGAAGAGCGCAGGCAAAGTACTGTATTCTTGTGTTGATTAAATTGTATCAAAAATATAATATTTAAGAATTTGAAAAAGAGAACAGGTGACGCGAGCATCTTTTATACGAGAGTTGGTCGGGACCATGGGAAACTGTCGTAAAAGAGGCGAATTGTATATTCAAATCAGCGCTTGTAAACGATTTTCGATACGAATGATCGCTGCCGTATCTGCCAACAAATCAATCGCTTGACCAATCCGACTTTTTATTGGCAATTTGTAGTTATTATGAAAACTCGTCAAATATAAATATAAGATTAGATCGTCGGAGCGCGCACTCCAGCTTGGCCTGCGTGCGTATTTTTAGTCAATCTGCGTACGCGGCGCGATGGTACAAGTCAGTTGTTCAGATATATAAATACATCGACGTTTAGGAAGAACCTTGCCTCTGTTTTTGCGTACAGGACATTTCCAGTGAATTCACTGCCGTATTCATTACCTCGTATTCATATTTCGATTAATCTTTACCGGCGTAGGTGTCATGTAAAAAACCTATAAAACGTCAAAAAAAACTTAAAGATGTCATCTTGCAAACTAGGTAGTTTTTAGGGCGCAAAAAGTCATTCTACGTTTGCTCACTAGGATCGTTGTGAACGTCCATCTGTGGAGGAATCACTTAACTAAACTACACATGCATTATTGGTTGCATAGTTTTGTGAGGCTGAGTTATCCGGGTCTGTAGTTTTTATCTCTGAGAAGAAAGTTGGTTGAATAGCAAGATCGCATTTGGATGATTATAGAATAGATTTATTTAGCTTTAAGCTACTTCAAACAACAATAAATATTATTTACAAAAATATGTTAAATTTACAAAGAGGTCGTCACATCAAACCAAAATAGTCTTTCCGAAGTCGCTTTCTGAAAATGTTAGCACTACTAGATGTTTTTGCAATAATAGGTAGATCGTTGTACATTTTTAGATCTTCAACAAACATTGACTTTTCTAAATCTTTAAATCTAAATCTTTGTATATGGAAATTTTCTTTTGATCTAATGTCCTAACCTTGCATTTCACATTTTTTTTTTTAGAAACTGTTCAACGCAAGGTGGAGCCTGATTATTGATAATTTTATATAAAAGAATTAAATTGGCCTCTTGAATAATTTGGCGTGTTTAAAAATTTTAATGCCTTTAGCATATCCTGTATATGGGTATACCTGCTACAATTTAAAAAAATCCGAAGTACATTTAGTGGCTGTGCCCGACGGGTTATTTTTATGTTGTGCTTTCTGAATAGAGGTTATGTAATTACGAAAAACTGAAGAGAATTACGGGAAATCATCACCGCGTACGCGTTGTGTGTAATTACTGTTAGCATGTATATGGCTTGTAATTCGACAGTGTACAGTGAATATAATTATTTCTTGTGTCTCTCATTTTTGAAATTCATAAAATTTGTACATGTAATTTCCAGAATGGATAAGAAAAAGTGGATGCGCAACTAATTTCCCGGTCAGTGAGCTGAAATCATCATTCGAAAATCTTTTGATCCGTGCAAATCGTACAAACTGGGCTATTTCGAATAAAATAAATTCGGTTTTCCGGAACAAAAAATATTGTAGATTTGTCAATGGGCGGGAAATATTGAGTCACTATACTTGACTCCATTTTTTTTCTCGTCTAATTTAAGTGGGCGTTACCATGCTTTGTCTGCTCGCATTGTGTAATACCGGAGAGACGAAACTTCGCTACAAATGAAATACTATTGGCCTGTGTCCAGATGTCTATCAAACATGTCTAGCCTGGTTGCTCCGTTTATTTTCTTCTCCTCCTCCATCGATATCGTGCGCCAGCCGTCACATTCTATCGCTCTTTTTTTATTTTGGGTGACTCATTGCATTTTTTATAAGATTGAGCTTATTGATAGTGACGTCGGCTAACAGCACAAAAGTTCTGTTTGAATCAGATCCAAAGGTGCAGTAATCGTTCACGTTTAATGTCATATGTGAAGACAAAAGCTTGGATACTCATTTTTTCTTCGGTTTCGATAACTGCATGATACCAGCTGCTTTTCAAACTAAAATTTCTTTAGAGCTCCAAATAAATATCTTTCTGCATCAATCACATTAATTTATTATATCAACTTTTTATACAGAAAAAGAATGGAGACCAAGATACAGTACAGCATATTTATAATTTTGTATAAATGTTGTGTATCTTTTTCATGAGTAGGTTTTTCATTTTCCTCTTCCCAATTCTGGATTTTTCTTTTATATTTCTATGTATCAACCAGATTTCTGCATCTAAAAAAGATGCATGGCATCTGCACTAACACTATCTAGCATGACTAAACCCATTAATGATTTTAATTATTTTTTCGTCAATTTTAAGTACCCTGCGTCGAAACTGTTGAAGATATGGTCGAATTTATTAGGAGTCCTTAAGCTTTTGTTGTTGATAACACTTCAAAATCCATGGTTCGCAAACTTGTTTGTTCTTTGAAAACTGAGGAAACACCAAAATGCTTTATTGTTGTTGATATAAACACACTATGTCTCACTTTGGAAACCCCACTTGAATTCGTGCTTTGAGCAGCCAAATACCCTGTAATTGATAATTTATTTTTTCTTTTTCAGCGCTGGGTGCGGCATACGGTACCGCAAAATCAGGCACCGGTATCGCGGCCATGTCCGTGATGCGGCCGGAGCTGATCATGAAATGCATCATCCCCGTGGTCATGGCGGGTATCATTGCCATCTACGGTCTGGTTATCGCCGTACTTATTGCCGGTGGTATTGAGGATAGTTCTACCTATTCCCTCTTCAAGTAAGTACCTTTCCGCGATCGTTGATTTTTCAGTATTTTTAAAAAGATTCATAGCCACTTCAATTGTGGTATAATAGTTTGGGGATGTGCTAATGAGTAACAGAGGCCCAATTGCTGCGAACGGCGGCGAATCGACATTTCACGGTCATCACTAACACTGGCGGATACAGCCGCAATATTTTCTTCAGTCCTCAGTCTACGCCTGCGTGTTGGTGGTTTAATGTCCAATAATGTTAACTGGGTTCGAAATTTAGTCACAAGCTTCCGAATAGCTCCCTCAGTAGGCCGACCAAATTGCCCATAAATTGGAAGCAGTGCTCGATGCACTCTCTTAACCGAGCATGAATTTTGATAGTAAAATTCAATAATTTGCAAGCGTTGTTCGTAAGTCGATTCATGGTTAAATTATAAACCAAACTGAACAAGTTTGACAATGACACAAGACACGATTCACGCGTCATCTGTCAAAAACAGTGTTGCCAAAAAGATACTAGCAAAAAAATCACCCATTATAATTAAAACCCACTAGGAATGTATGATCCTTTCTGTGATAGCTTTTATTTTATGCAGTTGTAAAAATGGATACCGAATAAATTATTATATATTTGAACGCTTTGTGTAAGGAAAAGCTAAAAAAATCATATCATTTCTGTTTAGTGCTTAAACACTATTATTGAGGTATGAAAAGTTACCATCCATTTGTTGATGTTTCAGCTCGTATCGGTTAGCAACTAATTCTGTACCTGTAAAATAAACAAAAACCGACGGCTTGACGTACTTTCCGTTGAACGAAAATAAACGAAATTGTAGCTAGTTAATTATAAAGAAAAGAACTTCGACAGGCGCGTAAATTATCTTTAGATATACAATATAAAATATATACACGGGCAATAACGTATATTGTTTATGAAAATTAATTTATTTTAAACTGCAGATGCTTTCTGGCATCTCTGAAATAACAGTCCTCTCCATGAGCGGAACTCTTCATCATAGGCACCTATACTGTACTGATGACTGCCAAAGAACACGAAACAACGCAAGCGGTAGGTCATCGCCAAAGAGGACTGAAAGCAGATAGATCCTATTCAGACTATGTTTCAAGGCGCGGACTGTCATTTCAGGAATGTGGGAAATCTGTCAATTTTGAGGCTACCATCCCTCATTTAGAAACGGCATCACATTTAAATGATCACTTTAAAGTTGACAACCCTACTGTTTTGGGTTCAATGTATCGATGTGTTGTCATTCCTAGCATGTTTAATGTTTGTTCCAGGGGCTTTATACATCTAGGCGCAGGCCTATCAGTAGGTTTCAGCGGTCTGGCGGCCGGTTTCGCCATAGGCATAGTAGGAGACGCCGGGGTGCGCGGAACAGCTCAGCAACCCCGTCTCTTCGTCGGCATGATCCTGATCCTGATTTTCGCCGAAGTATTGGGTCTGTACGGCCTTATTGTAGCCATCTACCTCTACACTAAGTCCTAAGCGCGTTGCCCCGCCCCACCATCATCCACCGTCAACGTTCGTTTTTGCTCTTTTCCCCCAAAAAGGGGGAGGAATATCAACCCCCTCTCCCAATATCATCTTTGCCCCTACATCCCGGTCCTCTCAATACATTCATATGTCAACGTTCTGCTGTTTTTTTGGTAACGGTGCGAGTTTTTTTTGTTAGGGGATGTGTATGGGTTTTCACCGTATGGCCACCTTTAGGAAATTGTACAGGTCAGTGAGGTGTCATACCGAATCCGTCTGTACAATATTTGATATCAATCTCGAATAAAGTCGCTTATAAAGCTCTATCTTGAGCGTAATCTCATCGTAACAGTTGTCGAATATCAATCAGTATTTAGGAGAATCCAAAACTCAGCTCAGAAGTGGGATTTTTGATATGGCTATACGGTGAAAACCGTCAGTTAAGATTTTCTTGTTTCGACTTTTCTGCGTACTTTTGAAAAGCGCGACGAAACTTCACTGCTAGCGACATGTAAGATCAGAATTTATGAGTATCGCACAGCTGTAAAAATCTATCCATTCAATAATGTGTGATAATTTGAAATTCATCAATTTCGTTCGACGAAAAGCTGACATAGCAGCTAGTAAAATTAGTTTCTTGTTGTGATATACCGTAGAAACTAAAGTTAAGCTTCACTTCATATCAGTAGTTGTGTATATGTTCCCTTTGAGAAAAACACTCGCCCAAGACCATCTATATGTAAAAAAAGATGATTGTATAATATCTTAGACGGATCGTAGTTTTACAACATAAAACTTCACCAAGGATTATCTAAACGCTGCAAATTAATCACTACCTGAAATTTAAATACATCAGCGATTTTTTTTGTTTTGCATGTCCGTGCATAAAAGAAAAATTACAATTATCTTCATGCGTGTTTCTACTTTTGCAGCAGAGGATAATCGCACATCTGATAGTTTTCAAAGTGATTTTTTGTTGTACAGCTATATCCCAGGCTACAAATATTATTAAATTAATTGTATAGTTCTTAGTAGTTTTTAGGTTACCTACTTTTCTTTTAATATAAATATATATTTAAAGAAGGAATATAAGCTCTATTGAGCTTGAAAAAGAGTATTTGAAATAAAGTTACAAGTAGCACAATTTTTAATTTCCGTTTATGTACCGTGTGTTCGAATTTACAGTTTTTTGTTTACTAGGGTTTTATTCGAACATTGGAGTCTCAATATCTATCGTCTGATACAAGAATTCATACACAATAAGATCTGGAAGTCGCTAGTAAACAAAATATGTTGGAACACTGTTTTTATTCGCTTATACTCGCCCGTATTGGACCCTGCCTGGGGTCGATAAATGATTTGTTCGTAATATCGTTTTGAACATCAACAGGCTCGTGAATGGTATGTTGTGACTGCCCCTTTTCTATTCTTTTCGATTTTATTTCTTACAGACAATGCAAAAAAATGTTGCCACCTCAAAGTTCAGCAGCCAGAGACGCCTAATACACAACAGTGAAATATTTGTCGAAGACGTTTGGAGTTGTTTTTTATTTCGTTTTACATTCTTTCTAGGTCTTCTGGATCACTTAACTTTACATTGTTTTACCCAAATGGAAACAATCATATTTCATAAAAGGCGGTGCCATTTTGTTAAATGGCGGTCGAGAAACGTCAAGCGTCACTGGTCATCGATGGACAGTGTTGCCAATTGGTGCTGCATGGAACAAAACTAGGGAAATTTGAACTATAAACGCATTTTACTAATGCTTCCATCGTGAAACACTTTTACCAAGAACATTTACACTCTACACTAACAAAAATGAGTCTTTCTATTACAATTGCAAAGGTTCAATGTCACTTTTGGCAACAGTAAATGATTCAATCTATTTGGGCAAGATCAATGATTTGTTAGTTATCTAAAAATCTTAATTCACTGTTTGTGTTGGGTCCGGATTCTTCTACCATCAATCCAAAAGTTTTGATTTTCGTTCCCAAACCGTTCGTTCTTCTTGTCCACCTTAGATCTTGTGCGATATTTGATATTCTCTGAACCTTCTATCCCGTAAGTGTAAAATTACGTGAATCGTTTTTCTGTTCGAGTTCGTTCCTCCTCCGTATTAAGCATTGTTGTAAATACAACACGTAAGTGTAACTATATCGATGGTTTTTGATGTCCAATAGTGTTATACATAATACATGTTAGTCAGGACGTATTTAGCTTTACGAATGCTTCAGTGGAAAACGTGACCGAGCTTCGCGAAGCTCTGAAGTGGTTTCCACTTCCAGCAGTTAGAAGTGAGGTTTAGCCGCGAAAAAATATCCGGAGAATCGAAAATACACAATTTTGATTATTATTTTCAAAGATTCTAGTACTTAATGATTTTGGATCTGAAAATATCGCGAGTTATTTTATTTTTTGTTTAGCGAGTTAATCGGCTACAGTGATATTTTCTATTTGACTGTATCAAAAAAATGTTAAAGCAATCTCGATTTTTCTTTAATATCCACAAACCGTCTCGTTTGAAACTCGAATACTTGTACCCTAGTTTAAGTGACTATCTCGCAACGAATTACGATCGCGGCTTTGATCTTCAAAGGTTCTCCTCAGTTTTTTCTGGCAAAATCTCGCGTGTGGTATCTCTTTTATTTTAGACATAAAATCATCAACTCAGCACACATTTGAAGCTTGTTAAGCGGAAATCCGATTTGCGAAAGCCGGACTTCTGCTCCGATTGTTTGTAGAGTATTATATTATTGTGTAATGTAGAATGGTTATGTTATAAGAGGGAACAGCAAAATTATGTTGGAAATAAATAATTTGTACATTCCATTATATTTCTGTTTTATCAATTTTTAGTTTTCTTTTTCTTTCTGTGTGCGCGGTTTGGCTTGTGTGTGCGTGTTAATGCTTTTGTGTGTGTCCTCTTACGTTTTCAAGCTATTTTGATTTGCTTCGTTATTGCTTTTCGCTTGAAATCTACCCAGAACAATACAGCAGAGCAACTCTCAGAAGATTACGAAACTATGACATGCGCTGTATAGTTTCGCATATGCTGTTATACAGGGTGATTGAGGGAAAAACGTGGTAATGTTCAAGACTAGAAAGTACAATCTGCGAAAATTAAACAAACTAACAGATGAGGTTGAAAATTGTTTTAAAATAAAGTAATCTCAAAATACAGGAAATCGCCACCGCGCTCGCCTACATCACAGAAAAAATATTCGCAGCGCCTCACATCTAGGCGCCGATTTGTATTTTCTATTGACATCGCAAAATAAATGACGTGAAATATGGTTTAGTTTGTTTTCAAACGGAAATTAGTTCGAAATTTTTCCTAACCTCAATATCCGCGAACTACACCTTGGGGGCGATTTCCAACGTGTCCAGTTTGACAGTCTCTAATATTTCTGACCGAGGTGGTGAAGATAGACAATGAAACACTTTGAATGAGAATTGATTCTTTAATACATGGAATCGAAATTTAAAAAAATCTTTCTTGGAAATCCGTTAGGAGCTTCATCGAAAAGATATCGGCGCGTCCTGTCCAATATGTGTAAAAAGAGATGATCTAAATCAAGCTGGGAAGTATCTTGAGAACTCGAGTGTATCTTTTATACACCCGATGAAGTATCTTTGTTCTCACTTGGCGAGTTCTTCAGCCTGGAGCACGGATCGAGTTCAACCTGCGTTAGAGAAACAAATATGAGGAAAAAAATAGTGTAATCTACCCCAGCGAAACCGTCTCCAAGACGCATAGGAATTGGTACAATTACAATCAGTTTCTTTTTTGTGCAATTTTCGCAGAAGCCTTAAAGTTTATCGAAAACTGCAATGGCATTTATGTCACAAAATAAATAACACAGTTACTACATAAATGAAAATGTGGTCGACTGTATCGTAAAAACGCATTCATGATCCAATGATGATCGGAATTTTATAAGTTATAAAAGCAACCCCTTAAAGCCTCACGTCAATATTTTCGCTTTTTTTGAATTACCTGTTACAGTATTCTAAATTATTTTATTTGATTACTTCGTGATGTGTACAGAGATGACTAAAAACATCTTTTTCAATTTTGTTTTGTCATAAAATACATTTATTGTGGATTTTTTCTTCGATCGTAACTTGTTAACGAATATTAGTATAGCTCTGAAATTGTATGTGAAATTCCACTTGTATGAATGAATTAAATAAGTGATTACTTTTATTCTTGTCACTTCTCTTTGAAAAACCTTTACTTTTCTTGAAAACTCAACTTGCTGCGAGACGAGGCTTCATGAAAATCGAAGGATTTTTCGAAAAGGAAAAGTGATAAGAACAAAAGTAATCACTTGTTTCATTCTTCCATAAAAGAGGAATATTCACACACAATTTCAGAGCTGCAGTTTCGCGCGCTTCGTGAACATTTCGATCGCAACAACCGCCCAAACGAAACAACCATCGGTCGTCTGGTGCGTAAATTCGAGGCAACAGGTTCTGTGGCAAATCTGCCAGGTTCTGGCCGGCCAAGGAGCGTTCGCACACCGGAAAATATTGCTGTTGTGAAGGAGAGTGTGAGAGACGATCCGAAACAATCAACAACGCGTCGGTCCCAAGAATTGGGCATTTCGAGAACCAGTTTGCTCCGCATTCTCCACAAGGATTTGAATGTACACGCCTACAAGATCCAATTGACGCAAGAGCTGCGTCGGGCCGACCATTTTTCGCGCCGAACTTTCTCAGATTGGCTCCTTGAACACCGCCAAATTGATGCCAATTTTTCATCAAAAATCATGTTCAGCGACGAAGCGCATTTCACTTTGAATGCGACGGTAAACAAGCAACACTGCCGCATCTGGGCGAACGAAAATCCCCGTGAGTATCAAGAGCAGCCGATGCATCCTCAAAAAGTGACTGTGTGGTGTGCATTGTGGTCAAAAGGCATCATCGGACCTTACTTTTTCGAAAATGCGGCCGGGGACGCCGTTACCGTCAATTCTGAGCGTTATCACGCGATGATAGAGGACTATTTTTTGCCGCAACTTGAAGGAATGGATATGGACGATGTTTATTTCCAACAAGACGGTGCAACATGCCACACAACCAACGTCAATATCCATCGATTGCAGTCCTTCTTCGGTGATCGCGTGATTTCGCGCAGAGGAAATGTGCCATGGTCACCAAGATCGTGCGATTTGACTCCCTTGGACTTCTTTTTATGGGGATATTTGAAAAGCAAAGTCTACGTCAACAAACCAGCCACCCTCCAAGAACTCAAAAACAACATCGTTGCCGAGATAAATGCCATAGAACCGACCATGTTGCAAAATGTCATTGAAAATTTCGACCATCGCGTGGACGTCTGTAAATCCAGTCGTGGTGAACAGTTGAGCGATAGTATTTTTAACAAGTTCCGATTGAAGAAAAAAATGCATAAAAAAATGAAAACATTTTTTTACACACCATGGAATTCTTAGATGGAAGACGATTTAGAATATTGTTGCAAGTAGTTGAAAAAAAATAAAATAAGGGACCTGCCACATTAAAAAAGTATTAGTAAGACTGATTATTAGTTCTCTTGGAACTCATACATGTTTTCTGAAGGATCTTTATTTGTGCTTCCAATGGCCAGGAAACATGGAGACCTATCAGCACGAAAACCACGGGATACGTTTCAGATGTTACATTAAAGTCGCATGTCCATACATGAAATATGCATTTTTTGACAAAAGAATATTTTTTTATACACACCATGAAACAAATGGACGAAGTATATTAAGAATACTCGTTCAAATAAGACTGTTGGAAAAAAATCACGTGCGTCAAGTAGATTAACTCTGTAAAGTTAGATAGCAACAAACGCATAACAAAAAAGTCAGCCAAACAGGCGCATATATATAATTAGCCCATAGCGACTCAAGTTTGCTACAAATAGAGTTTAGCCTAACCAGCTAGGGAAACATTTTAACCAAAATTTCAAATGAATCTCACTGTTCCCGAGTTTCTTTATTCAGATCACAGATAATCACAAGCAATTTTGAAAAGTTGACACTTGAGTGTGTTATTTGTAACCGGTGTAAACTGAAACATTCTACAAAGATATGTTTACTTTCAGCCGAGGTAAAATTCAGCGACCACAAAAAAACTGTGGTCGAGTTTTGCTAAAATATATGTTGGAAACTTGATATGGTGGCCCGCAAAGTTGATGGAGAATGAGATTTTTGAGTTGAGATACCCACAACTTTTTCAGCTCTGCAAAAATGTCAAAATAAGTCTATTGACGTCCAAAAAAAAATTAAAATATGCTCAAATTTCAATTCCACTGGGGTAGAACGTTTATTGAAAAATCAACTTTATTGTAATACAGAAAGATCTCTCCCCCAATTTTTCCTTTCAGAATAAATTCATTTCCGCAACAATTTTTCATGGGAAAATAATTTGCGATTTATATGCAATCCCCACCCATCTTTACGTTTATTTAATTTTGCCCCAGCTGCATACCACAACCACAAAGTGAGTCTTGAATGCCCCAAAAGTAAAAAAATTTACTTTCTTATACATACCTCGCTAAAGACGTGAAACATTCTAACAGCAAAAATCTGCCGTCCTTTAGATCCTTAGAAAATTTTAGTAATCCCTTTCTGTAGATGGTACTATACAATTTTAGCTTTCAAAGTGACATTACAATTAAAATTTCAGAACCAATATTTCACATCGATTAATACTGAAACTTAGAACATGATTATTCAAATCGTCTATTCAACATTGACAAAACATAAAAAGTGACAGGCTAGCAAGCATTAGCCTTCCGTTCAACGTTTTTCCTAAGTCTTGCACATACACATAACTACAACCTAAAACTAGCTTACAGATTCAAAGTGATTTAAACGGTTATACAGACTATGTTAGATGACAACAGTGGCGTAGCATAGAAATACTCAAAAAAAGGCCCGAGATTATTAATCTAGACTTCAAGCTAGCCAAGTCGTTCCCGCAATGGTAATATAAGCCATACAGTTTCCAACTGGTCCCTCAAAAAACCCAACATGATATAGTTTTATAACAAATTACATCACTCCTCTTTATAAATTCGATTGATATATACGTAAGTCGTTTGCCAAAAATTTAGGGATCGTAAATAATTTTAGAGTGATTATCCTTCTGTAAATATGTTCAATTTTTGATGAGACCCGCCCCCAATTTTTTATCCTACGCCACTGCAACACTAACTTACAATAATTATTAGACTTAGTTTTTTTTAGATTTAATACCCGCCTCTCCACTGTCCCCCCTGGCGTCCCCCACCGTATGGATATTGTCCACGTGGGCCCCCCCTTAAGTCATTGTATCTATCGTTCGCTCCGTAAAAACCATCCCTGTACCCTCCCCTAGACCCCCCCATACCCCTGGGAGGCGTAAACGATACCGGCCTGTCCATCAACGGCTTTGGTACAAACCTGGAATTATCAGAAATTTTTCAATTGTGCGATTTTATTACCCGAATTGGGGCCGACTTACAAACTTTGTTCGGGTTCGGATTTCAGAACCGCGCAGCGGTTCAAAAACAAAAAAACATGGCCAAAGTCCGAAAAATGTTTTTCGCGTTTGACATAATAATTCATCTGTTGATAACAGTAGTTATATGTACAGGGTGATTCACAAGTGGTGACCAAAAATGAAACATTTCAAGGGGGGTGTTCCATGTAACATTTTTTCCTCAAGGGCTTCAGTAAAAAGATACGGGGTGTTGAAGTTTAAAAATAAAATACGTTTTTTTTTAATATCTTCAAAACCGACAACTAGAATTCATTAAAACTTGGTATGTGGATATATCCAAGTATTGTCCATATTTAAAAGTCTTTACAAATAAAAATAGTACGTCACTGGTTTTTTTTCCGAAATGCGTCAATTTTGGCTGCAACAGACAGTGATGCTATGTTCTACAATAACTGATAAAATAGCTTAAAAACATAAAACTCAATATTCGACTTTTTGCATGTATGTCAGCCATTGTGATTACACGGGAATCGGTACCAAATCCGTTATCAGCGACCCTTGAAACATACAAAACTCGAATTCGAGAGCAAGCGGAACATTTTTTTCAAACATGTCCGCCATATCGGATCCACCGTTTTGATTTTTGACAAACGGAGATCGTATTCGTAATAGTGACCTCAAAATCACGTCAATCGATCTTTTTGGTGAAATTTAGCGAGTGTTTGGTTTTGGCCATGCTTTAGGACTTTTGAACCACTAAGAACCGTCATAGAACAGTTCCGAACCATCAAGGAGGAAATCATTCACGATAGGTTCTTGTTTCTGGCACCTTTTGAGTACACCTGAACTATACAGAGTGTCAGCAAAGTTGGGACTTTACGTGGTGGACAATTAAAAATCTGAATCCGTTCTAAACAAAAAATGGCACATTCGTAAATCAATATTGAACTTGTCGACATGATTTTAATTTACGGTGAGTGCCATTCAAAATGCTACCGAGGCTTCGCGAGTGTATGCAGACCGCTTTCCGAGACGTGTTCATCCAGGGTCATGTCGATTTTTTACGGAACATTCTACCAACGATGCTAAAAGATGTGCCCAGTGTGGTTTCTCCATGATGGTGCACCACCCCTTTTTAGACGCGTAGTGCATGATTACTTATATGAACAATTTCCGACTCGGTCTTGTAGCATGGATTTCTTTCTTTGGGGCAAAATGAAACGCTCAGTCTTCACAACTGAGACGAACACGGTCGACGAACTACATGTGAGCGTAAACTTTGAACATTACTTTAAGCGACAGAGCCGTACTACTCAAGGGTGGATACTTTTACATTAATTTTTTTTTTCACTTTTGCGCTACTGGTTTACCACACATAAGCTTTGTTATTTCAAGAGTAGTTGTTTGTGGAAAGAAAAGTCCCAACTTTCAGGACACGCTGTATTCAAAAGATTCATTTTAAGATTTTAAAGGGTACAACAAACGAGTTGATTCCTGTTTTCAGGTTAGGATTATTTGGGACAGTTCTATGACTATTCCAAAACAGTTTACGTTCAAAACAGAATGCAAAATTCAAATAGATCAACTCCTATAAACCTATAGACTTACAGTTCTCCTAAAAAATTTATCTAATTCATTAATTTAAGGGCTAATTCACTCTTGATTAATATTTTGTTGGTCTCCTGTACCCTACCAAGATTTTATCAATACTATGTTAGAATAAAAAATATCATTTTGAAAATATACCCCCCATGAATTTTGTCTCGAGCTGTGGGTTGCAAAATGTGACATTGAAGCTAGCGATTTTTAGCTTTTTCAAATTTCATTGATATGTATTTAAAGCAAAAATTACCATCTTCAGCAAAAAATAAAGGTTTTTTAGTTTATATATCGCTTTTCTGCTTCAAATTAAGTATATTTTGGTAGCTATAGAAAAATATTTCTATACTGAAGATTGATAAAAGTGTTTACGAGTCATCACCTGTGTTGCCATCTGGGGCAAAAGTCCGAGATGCGGCAACACTGGCACCTAAAGACGGTGGTCGACGTGTGTATATGGTGATTCGCGATATTCGTAAAACTACTTCTTCGAGGCATATGTAAGGTTGATTAGACATTGTATTTACCATATGTTTTTAACGAAAGTTTTTTTAAAATTTACTCTACAAAATTTAATTGAAAACAGGAAGATTTATCATGAATGTCAAGTATGACACAAGACAGGCGCTGAGGGCTCAAAACGCACAGAACACGATAATCTAAGAACGGCATACGCAGGGTTGCAACATCAATATATGATGAACTAGAAAAACGCATTTACAGGTAACTACCAGTTAACTTCCTGCTTATAGTTACCTAACCGCAAACTAGCGATTGAAAAAGCGGGAAAAACTAGAAAATTGGTTTGAATGTAAGGCAGAATCCATATGAAAAACGTCAACCTGTTCTACTTTGAAAATACGCTGAAGGTAGCGAAAATTAAATGTAGTGTATTTGGAAAGTAATGTCATTATACGATAACGTTGCCACGGAGTTCGCGATATTTGATCTGCTGACTATTTTATCTCAGGACGAATAATATGGTTCCCATTGGATGTCGAAGTAATATAACAGTTAACTGGTGTGCTGTTAGGGTTTTCGCGTTTTCGGGACGAAGGACTAGGGCGGCGTATCCGGTATCCGGAAATCCCTACCCCAGGCGCTCCTAGGCTGTGCTGGTTTTGCCGTCTTAAAATTCGTCATGATGTCTTCAATAAAAATGTATACGCCGCCACTCCAAGGTGAAACTGGTTGCAGAGATTTATACGTGATTCTGGCAGCACAGCGGCGAAAACTGATGACTCGCAACACTTTTATAAATTCGCAGTATACGATAAAATATAAAAAAAAAACAACAGTACACATGTGTATTCATGAAACATAAAACACTCACCTTTGCTTAGGTTTACCTCCTGAAGCTTTGGGAGGCGCCTTTGGTTTTTCTTTCGGGCCGATCCTGACAGTGCCAAACTTGTAGTTAACTTTGTAGTCCATTTCTTTCAGCTTCTGCATAATTGCAGGCGGTACTAAAAATGAGCAATTATTTGTAAACAGCAAACAACACACAACAAAATGTGAAAACACTGTTCTTAATTAAAGATAGATATGCATAGAATGTCCCAAAAAGCCTAAAACTCATTTTGCCTAGAACGAAAAAAAAATTTTTTTTTTAATTTGTTTAAAAAATATCTAATTTTAGGAATAATTATATATATATTAATTTTTGTCCCTTAAGATGAATTCCAAACATCATTAGTAGTTTCAGAAAAGTCAAAAAATCAAGTTACAGCAACTTTAATTTTCTTTCGTTTTTTGCTCATAGGTCCGACACTGGATCGGTTTTTAAATCCCATAAAACTTTTTCTTCCCCATCAAAATAATATAACTGAAAATTTCATCAAAATCTGAACAGTGTTTTCCAAATTGCAGAGAAAAAACCCGAGCTGATAAATTCGACACTTAAGCTCCATTTACCTTTCACTATGAGCTCAACCATGGTCCCTCCTGTAGATTTTGACACAACCTTCCAGCTGGTCGCACTGAGACCTTCATTTTGACCGTCAATCAATTTTAGCATCTTCTCCGTGGTATAATCCTGACTCTTAGGAAGGTCAGCATATAAAACTTCGGATGTAGGGAAAGAATCTCCTTTCTCGATTTTTAGTTTGCAGTCTTCCCATGGTTGGATGCTGCATAAAGTAAATTTCCTCAATAAACAGGACATGAGTATTTTTTTAATACATTCGATAGTACAAATGAAGGGCATGAGTCAATACGGTAGCTAAACTACATTAAAATAAAAACATTTCCATCCAAAAACCGTCAAGGTGCCAATGTCTGAAATAGTTTTTTACAATTTGGTGATAGATGTCACTCTCATTTCTCGAAATTAAAGCAATAAATGTGACTTAGGATTTATGTAAAACTAATTTTAGATTATTTTGCCCCAAGCCCTTCAAATGTTCCAGCTGGATGCATCCAAAGTACCTGGAGATCTCATTTTCTAGCCATGTGAGAGTATCTTCATTTGCACATGTCAAGGCCAAATAATCACTCCTATTTATGGCTCTCAAAAACTTGGGCTTGACTTGAGAATCATCCATTTCTATGATTTTGTCCAAAATTGCTTCTTTTACTTTCTCTACTTGGTCCTGAGTCATGACGTCATCAGGAAAGCCTTCTGGCAACACGCCTACTTTTATTTGCTGAAAGGCAAGATGAATTGCAAGCAAACAGTTGAGACCAGAAACCAGCGAGTACGTGATCAGAACACTGTTTTTTTGAAAGAATGGTAAACAACAGATTTTAAAATGATAAACATGAGAATCACTTACATCTTTGTCAGCTTCTTCTATTTTAACTTTCTTTGCAGGTTGCTGTTCGCCATTTTCAGTACTTTCTGCGGTACCATTCTCATTTTCCCTTTTCTCTGCTGGTTTGGTATCTTCAGTTTTTGCAGTTGCGTCCATTTTGATCAGAAACTGTAGGTGATAATATCAATAACAATCTAATATAGCAGCATTTTTCAGTTTTTGTTGTTTTAAGACTTCCAAATTAGGAGACTAGATAGAACTGTGTTTGCTAAATGAGAGGACCAAACTTTATGAACAGATATCAACTAAGAATTCAAAGAAAATAATCCGAATCAAGCCACTTTTTGGTTCAATGTTTTAATCTGTTCTTCACTTGAGCAATTATAAAAAAAATTCTTTTTGATTCCAATATTTTTGTCACTACCCCATCTTCGAAACCCATTTTAGATAATTCATTCTTTCTATTTGTGAAATGATATTCCTTAACGTTTCATCATTTTAGAATACTACTAAAAATAACTCGATAGGCTTGGGTTGTAAATGAGGTTAGGATCATTGCAGTTAGACCACAAATTGCTGTGACAGCAATACAAGCGTTGGTTTGTAAAGAAAAGCTATGCCGACTTTTTGCCGGTATCCCTATCAGAACCATGCTGGTAATTTGAGCCCGTCGGGTATTGGATTAATAATACTCCAAAATAGGTAGTTATTTTAGTCTGCCTGATTAGTGATTGTAGCGGAAGGGAAGAGCCGGTCGAATCGGTTCCTATTTGGGCGCGTTTGGAGGTGTCCCGGCTTTGTTGGTACATTAGGAAAAAATAGGGAATTCCGTACAATTTTGAAAACGAGCGATAGAAATAAATGCTGAAAGCTTACCTGAAGTTAACGCTTACCCAAGAAGGAAGCCGAAAAGTTATTGAAAAACCTGAAAAATGCAAAAACCACGCGAAAATGGCGAGAATTGCTAACAAAATGGATGACAACTATACGTCAGCTGTCACTCTTGACATAAGCTAGACATGTGATTGACTCTTACCTATGGCGTGCAAAAAAGGCGTGTCATGTTCACGTGAAAAAAAAAAGGCGTGGCAAATCATCCTAGAAAAGGGGTGTCGCGTCAAGGCTGTTAACCACGCCTTTTTTTCTAATTGAAGCAATGAATCAACTTTCTATAGATTTGAATCTTTGCCGCCTGTTGAAGTCGAAGTACAAAATGTGGCGGAAGGAAGCATAATAATTATAACTTATAACGATCGTTGATCCGACCACAGTCAGTAGCGTGCGTTTTTGCTACTTCGTCATTCTAGAACCGCAAAGCTCTCATTTGCGATCGGCCCTTGGAAAATACCAAATTTGTCTGATTGTCTAAGCAATAACACACCTTTTTGGAAGTAGCTAGACCAATTATTGGAGTGCCATATCACCGTTCTTTTCATTGTATGTCTACGGTGGCTGATGTCGTAATGTGTAGGAGTAGGAAGAGAAGCGCGAGAAGCGTCACTCGGATTGCTGGGCAACTTCGTGTTTCTACCTCTTTCTAACACGCTTCTCTCTCGTACACATTACGACGTCAGTGGTGTTTGGCTTTCAGTGAACAGAGTCCACAGCATATCTAATACTAAACAGCAGAGCAACTCCCTGGAAGTATGCTGAAATATTTTTTTGCGCAAAAGGCCCTTTGTGCCTTTGTATACAGTCTGCCGTTTTAGAGCTTAAAGCGATTTGAAGAAGTATGAAAAACCCAATGCATGTAAAAATTTTTACACAGGATCATGCTAAATACTCAAATCTTAAAGCGCAGAGGGAGGGGCCGTTGAACTCCCTACCCTCCCTACGTGGACGCCCATGCTTAATTTATTTTAAAACATTGATAGTCAGGCGCATACCGAGGTCATCACGTCATCAGCGCGTTCTTATAAAGTACGTAATTTCTTAGGAGGTATGTTTTAAGCATTTCCGTTAATGAAATATGAGTTTACGGTATTTAGTTAACGTAAAAAATCGCCAGATAATACAAAAAATCATGGATATTCCTTATTTTCACTCAATTCATTTATTAATATCGACTGACCATCAAACGCGAGTCTTTCTGGAAAACCCAATACACGACACAACCTCCACCCAGTATTGATCGACCCTGTGTCTGGCGGTATTCTAGGCCACCATTACCTTACACACGCCCACACACGGTCTGCACAGTTGATTCTTGGTGTGACTTCGACCTTGTTCTCACTGCTAAACCGTGGTTAAACTGCTAAATGCTCGCATTGCAATCACGCCTATGCAGGTGTCTCCTGTTTTCCACCAGACGAATGACTGTCAGCACGGGGTCTAGCCGGTACGTACTACTTGATTAGCCTTAGGAAAGGTACTCGTTTTTGATTATGTACATCCTTGATTACGCTTGATTGATACAATCCTGCCGACGACTAATCGGGCTTTTAATCCTGCCGACTAATCGGGCTTTTACGGTTAATAGATGTGAGTTTCGATTGGCAGGCGGTATGCAGCAAAGGAGGTCTAGGGTGGCCGTGGAATTGCTTTGATAGCAGTTTAATGATGATTCAATTCTATAAATGGCGATGGGTATAGTTTAGTCTCCAGGAGCGAGCATTAGTTCCTCGTAGTTACCAGCGACCGACGTATCTCATACGCGAGCATGGGCGTCCGCTTAAGTTTTCCCCAGAGGGGCCGATCATCGACAAGACACTTTTTGTCAAAGTGTATCTGCCATCAAAACTTTTTAAAGAACGTGGAGTTACAAATATTCTGGCGGGTGGTCCTAAAAATCTCTATAATTGTACACAAATACGTAAATTGTAAGTTCCGCCCAGATTCTCAACCCCTTGCGGGCGCCCCCTAAGTTAGGTTAGTTTTTTGTACGTTATTGATAAGAAACAGGTTATTTCATCAAAAACTTTAACCGCCACCGGTTAACCGTACCAAATTTAACCGGTTATGCGGTTAACCGGAAAATAACCTTTATTTTTGTCCATCAACAGTTTAAAGTGTGATTGGCCATGTTTACAACGTGGCTACCCAAGTGCACATGGTGTAAACTTGCACAAAGCGGCATTTATGTACAGACTTGCAACTTCCTTGATAAATCAATCCGTTGAAGGCTGATGAATGTGAATGCGGGAAACGTGAAGTTGGCATTTGTCAAATGTCAAATCTTATAAACTGTGGCAAAAATGCGTTTTGCGACCACAGAACATCTATTAGAAGCTGAGCTATCGCAAAGCGGTTATGCGGGGTATAGTATAGTATCTCTGGAAATACTCTGGACTGCGAAACTTTCTCTGCAATTTTCCTAGTTAGCTACATGTGCAGTTTTGTCTCCGTTTAATTGACTTCGTATCTCTTACCGTCTCGAGATCACAATGAATTTGAAACATCTGGTATAGGCGGGCTATACTTATGATGGCTGGGCTGTAGTTGTCATAATTATAGCCTAATATCGCTACAAAAACAACTTCATATGGTCAAGCGGAATCACAAAGCACTGTAATAAAAAAATAACGCGAACTTTTAGTAAACCCAAAATTAGACACTAATGAAACCTGAATAAAATAACAAGTTATTCTCGTTTGGGAAGCGATAAGGGCGACATGACCGGCACGGGTATCACGTATCTTGAAAAGTGACATTATGCCGATTTTTTTTGACATTATGCTGGTTTTTTTGACATTATGTAGGTTTGTCGCCAAGACGTTGACTTAGCACTTAGTTCTGTGTGTTGCCTAAACGTCGTGAGGCTTGTTATCAATCTTTGGCTCTGATGTGATGTAAAATCTGCTTCTGAGATGGCATTACTGGAGGTCTAAGCTGTAAGTTGTATGTGTTGATGATAATTTCATTGGGTTCTTGTCTCAAATACACTTAATTGAGATTCAAAGCTAGAAATTAGTTGCGCATCCACTTTTTCTTATCCATTCTGGAAATTACATATACAAATTTGCTGGATTTCAAAAATGAGAGAGATAAGAAATAATTATATTTAGTGTAGACTGTCGAATTACAAGCCATATACATGCTAACAGTAATTACACAGAACGCGGGCGGGGCGATAATTTCCCGTAATTCTTCTCAGTTTTTCGTAATTCATAACTTTGAACATAACCTCTCTTCAGAAAGCATATCATAAAAATAACCTATCCTGCACAGCCAATAGATATACCTCATTGGCAGCATATTCTGTAATGATTTTTTCACACAGCAAATATCACTGATTTTATACACATGCAGTCCAATACACATAATCATCCAGATGCGATCTTGCTATTCAACCAACTGTCTTCTCAGAGGTAAAAACTATAGACTCGGATCACTCAGCCTTACAAAACTATGCAACCAATAATACGTGTAGTTTAGTTGAGTGATTCCTCCATAGATGGACGTTCACAACGATCCTAGTGATCAACTTGGAATAAGTACCCAGAGGAGGAATGGATTTATAACATAAACAGGCGGATTTGTCAAGTAGCACTAGCCAGAATTGTGAACCGTCTAGAATAATTTCCTGTGCTACAAGTCTCATGCAAAATGTGTTTGAGATGTACTGTATGCTAACACTAATGGGCAAAGGTCCTACGCACCGCCCATACAAACAAACGACGAATAGAGACCTGCTTCATAATGAAAGCACCGCCTTAATCACATTGGCCACCCTGTATTTCGATCAACTCTTTCCAGACTGAACCAGCCAGCTAGCGAGCAGTTCCCTTATCATTCATTCAGAATAATAATTTCAGTAATTATCACTGATGTATACGACCGAATATAGTTGCTGGTTATCCAATAAACATTGCTAGTCAACCGGTGTCTCTGTCTACCGCAGCACGGGTTCGCTGTTTGTGTTTCAGTTCTACCAAGTACGACTGCTATCAGACCGTGCGTTGTCGCTTTCGCGTACCGATCAACGAGTTCAAGAAGATAACAACAGAAAACGCGGTACGTAGATAGTCTCCTCACTTTGGAAACGTAGTTTCGTCAGCGTTTTATGTAGAACATTCTGGTTATCGATATCGTTTGACTACGATATTTTAATTTGAAGCTTAGTTCTACAGAGTGTCTCAATATTCCACGTATATTTAGACTATAACGGACAAAAGTGCTTCTTTTGTCCGTTAGATGGCGTTATATTTTTTTAAAACAGATTTTTTCAGATGCTTTAAATACCGATAGTCCGATTTGAATAGATTTTGGAATATGCGTCTTAATATTTGACTTTTACGAAAAACTCTAAAGGGTTCGAGAAGACTGAATTTTTTTCAAAAGATCCTTTTATTTGCTGCATTTTTTGTCTCTTATAAAAACAGGCCACCTCGCATAGTTTTCGAGAAAAAAAATGTATTTCGGAGCTGGTTTCCAACTTTTTCGGTCTAACGAATGTGAAAAATTGATCGATGGTTTTGGTAGTGAACAAGTAACTTCCAAAATAAACTCTTAAAACATCCAAAAAGGTTTCGGTGACGGTCTGGTTTTTAGTTTCTCGCTTATCACTTCGTTACTATTAGGATATTAAAATATTCTTGTGTAAAAATTCCTTAAAGTTCATGGGTGAAATAGTTATTATTTTGTCTGATCTATAAATATCTTATAAGAGAAAATGAGATATACCTACCCCCACCCCCTACAACACCCAACCCCCGATTTTCAACCGCATATAAAGTAAAATTGTGGTAATGTTTACTAATCTTTCACGTCTTAATTTTTACAGATCCTTTGGTATGGACGAGAATAACACGAATAGTTTGATACGACATGTGGACGTCAGGGTTAAAGAAAACGATATCCAAAATGGAGCGCTCGGCATCCTAAAGGTCATTAGACCAGAATGGGATCAGAAACAGATCACTTTTAAGGTACGACTATCCTTCACGAACTACGTATTTTATGCAGGGTGTCGTGGACTTTACCTTTTCAGAAACAACAATTGAGAAATTAAATAAAAGTACTCACTATTCATTTGGTGCCTTGCTCGTTAATTCTGTTTGAGTTGTAGA